CAAATTTCAATTCATGGCGAAGTTTCTCAGTGGTTTCTCCTCTCCTCTTAATCAGTTTGAACCGAGAGAGTCGGAAATTCCTAACAAATTCGAGTTGTTTTCCGCCCACGCATTCTCTCTTTTATTCTTGTATTTTCCCACACTTTGAACACTAAAGAAGTCGGAAATTCCAGAGCATTGTATCTGTAACTTTTTCCTCTATAGAGCAGAGAGCCAGAGCCCTTCCGAGAGAGCTTTTCATATTTGTTTCTTATCTAGAGAAAAACACAACGCTTTTATGGTCAAATGCTTTTTATCGTCTGCTCAAATTTATTATCTCAAAAAAATATGCCCACGCAAAATGTTTGAGAATGTTTCAGCCGCAGATAAACATGCAAATGAATAAGCGAAAATCCATAGGAAAAAAGCGAATGACATGCACTCCCCGACTGGCTATCAAAACAATAAACAATAGCCATAAACCGTAAAACATAAAGAAAAGAACACGCAGAGACAGACTGACAGAGAGATCCAAAAAAGAAGGAAGAAAAACCCCAGCCAAAGCCCAAAAAAAAGCATGAATGCAGAGGTGTGTGGGAATTTGGAATAGAACAACTTTACAGTGGGGCAGGAAACAGAAAAATTATAAAGAAAATTATTATGGCAATCTAGCTGTCGTATTTGTGGCAGTCCTGGCTTAATATAGCTGCTGCCCACTGTGCTCCCCACTGTGCTTATGTTGAGTGTGAGTCATTCACTTGACACTCGTCGCATTCACATTCGCTCCCAGAATCGAATCCAGGGGAATCGAGAATCCAACGCTGACTCTGACCAACGCGTCGTATGCTTATTTCTGTCTCGTTTGTGCTTTGTTCTCTGCTCTCCCTCTCTCTCTCGCTGTAGACCTTCCTCCTCCTATCCCCCCCATTGCTTCCCTTTGTGTGGTTTTTTCTGTCATTTGCATAGTCACACAAATTGTGCATGCCAATGGTTTTTTGGCTTATATTGTTTTCTTTTCTGGTCATCGTCTCGACAATTAAAAGTCAATTTCATTCACCATAAACAAAACGGCTGTGAAGAGACGTGATGTCACGTGATGATTTATGCACGGGGGTGGCCAAGGGGAGGGAATCTCCTTCCCTTGAAGGCGACAAAAGAAACAAGGAGAGAGGGAGTCGGTTAGGTTTCTGATTTCAATGGATAGATTACAGACATTCCTATCACATTTATGACGGACATCTATTTTGGGAGAACTCTAGGGCGTCTATTATTGTGTGTCCATTATTATGTAAAGTGACCTTTTCGCCCCACCTCCTTTTGTGCAGGCGCTGCAATGTTGTAAGCCTCCAGAGGCAAGGACATTGCGGTTGCACATTCAAGTGCTGGGGGACCCGGATCGATAAAACATTCTCTGAAAAATGTTGCATTTGCCCTTCACCTTTCCCTCTGCCTCTTTCGGATGGATGACTAGATGGCTGGCTGGATGCTGGCATTCAATTAATTTTCCATTTCCCCGCTTTCATGCGATTTTATGGGATGACGATGACACTCGTTTCGTGGGCTGTCCTTTGGTCTAGGCTTTTCGCAACTAAAGAGGTTTTCATTATTGATTTTTGTGATACTTTTTTGCATCCTCTGTTGAAGTAACTCTCCATCTCTGTCTCTCTCGCTACTTGATTTCCTTTAACTTCTTTCGTGGCATATGCCGGCTTCCAAGAGCGGGAGTGCAGGGTGGAGATTGTCTGCTGCGTCATATGTCACGACGACGTCACACTGGGTTGCACCTATCCAGGGTATATACGACAGATGGTGAGGCAGTGCAGTCACCCATTTCTCCCTCTCGATCTGTTACCTTACCTTTCATTTCTTGTACCCTGCATATACCCTTATCCTTTGCTCGTGCTACTGGGGCCCAAGACTAGCCTTGAAGTGCGGTGCGGGGGGAATCCTTAGAAAAGTGGTAAAATTGCCAGCGGCTCTTTGTCCGACGACTCGACCGACCAGGGTGGATTTTTCTCATTTTCGCCAGAACGCGAACCCCTCACCACACCCCTCCACACTCACACACACACACACCTCAACCCCGTGGCTTGTCCTTTGCCTTTACAAAACTTTTCTTTTGTTTTCGCATCTTTTCCTCTCTCTCTCTCTCCCTCTGGTTCTCTCTCTCTTCTTCGCTGTGTAGTTTTTTCGCACAACATTTTTTCGCACTTTGTGCCGCTGCCAAAGGGAGGAACTTGATCTCCGAACCAAACCTTGGGGTGGTGCACCCTCTCTCTCCCCGTCCCTGCCTCGCTTTTTGTGCTCCTTTTGTCGTCTATGCAAATTCCCAACCCACAAGAACATAAATTCTTTAACAATTTCCTCCATCGTTTCGACTACTACGACTTTATGGTTTGTTGTTTCTTCCGCCTGTCAGTTGCACCAGTTGCTTGGCCTGTCATGTTCTCTAGAGATAGGTTGGGGGAGATAATAATATAATAATATGTACAAGGGAAAACTAAAGTTCCTAGATAACCATATGCTGTCTCTTAAGATGTGCAAGCGGGTGGAAAGATAAGCTCAAAGGACGAAGCTTGTCAAGTCCTTAAAGAGTAACTTCAGCTATCACGAACTAGCAAAGTATTCCCTGAAGTCAAGCCCCCAAAGGCTTTCTTTCTTCTCTTGTTTGTAGGTTAATTTCTTAATAATTTTCAAACTAGTTTTCCCTGTTGATGCTGATGGATGGATTTTGGTGTTCCAGTTGCTCTTTGGGGTCATCTATTTTTGGCCCTAATCGGGTTCTTGTCGGCTTAATGATCTCAAGTTCCGTTCAGAGTTCCGCTTCACAAATTATTGGATCGTTAAAGTTGAACTAAAAATGCAGTCGTATACGTGAGGGTTCCTTGTATGGATTGGAGGTACTGTGTGTGTGTGTGTGTGAGAATATCATCAAATTGAAAAGTTCTCGTTGAAATCAAATCCCCCAAGAGAATCTCTTGCGGGTCGCTTGTCCCTTCCATCGGTGCAACGGAAGCCACAGAAATGACTAATTAAATTTACACCGTAAAAGTTTATTACTGTTGACTGGCCACGCCCCCTGCGCTATGCCCTGCCCTGCCCTGTCTGCCAACGAGCAACGTCTGGGCAAAAGGCCAAAGGCAAAATGTGAATGAAATCCGACAAGTAAAAGGGGAGCAAAGGGGTAACAGAAGAGAGACGAAGAAGAACCGCCTGTAGTCCAAGGTGTGTTCCAGAAAAGGTAAAGCAATGCAGCTATGAGCGAATGCAGTGCCTAACGTTACATTTGATATACCCTGCCAAAAGACGGAGGACAACTGTAAATCCCGTTTCAGGGCATGACACGAAAGCCCTTGAAGTGGTAGCAGAAGAAGAAGAAGAGCGAGCAGAGCGAGAACTAAAATGAGAAACGTGCTCAAATGCAAAAAGCTACAAATTGAACAACAAAATCAAACACACACAGAAACCGAAAACAGAAAACAAATGCATGAATGAACTGCGAGTGGAATGAATGAAAGAGCCGAATGGCCAGCGGCGGAATGAATAAAAGTTCTCTACGAAATGCAATGGCAATAAATCACACACACTCACACACTGACGAAGACGATGATGGCTAGTCAGGGGATTGAAGAGCCCGAGTAGCTATTTAATGGCAGACACATCAAGTTGGACACAAGGACAACCCAAACCAAAGGCATCAACAACAAAGAACAGCCAGCGCATCAGCAGCACCACATACTTGTGGGGGTGGGAGGGAGATCAATAGTGCTTGATTGTGGTGAAATTGGCAAATAAGCTACTGTTTGGAGCCAAGGTTACAGTTGGGTGAGAGGCTTAGAGAGAGGTATTATTTTTATATCTTTAGATATTACACACAAGCATTAGTCATGTTTAGACATTACATTAATGGAAGATNTGCTGCAGCTCGTGCTGCTGCTCTCTCGTTCAGCCAGTGCTTAAATCGATACTCTTCTTTTATGTGAGAGAGCGCGCGAGAGAGAGAAAGAGAGAGCGAGAGATGAGTGTCTGCTGCGTAGCCAGATTTTAATCTATGCTTGCTCAACACACTTACCGTTAAGTCTGATGCCTTAAGTGGGTGTATGCTGTGTGTGTGTGTGTGACGTGCTTCCATTCTGCCTCCTCCCCCACACTCCCCGTTCCACTCTTAATCTTCTCTCAGGCGCATTGCTTGCTCCAAATTCCTGCTAATAACCTGCATAAGTAGCCGCTAGATGGCGGATGTGCATGGCTTAAGACTGATTCCGATTTTCCCCCTTTCTTCTCTAGCACCTCTCCCTCCATCTCTCTCGCTCCCTCTTCCTCTCGCTTTGTGGAATTTTTGTGACTTTAAAGTTCGTTGGACTCATTCTAGCGGAAAGCTTACATATAAGCTCTTTTAGAGTGGGGAAATATTTCTCTGCTTCTACTTCTTCCTCGTTTTTGTCAAATGTCTACGGGGGCGTGGCATCCCATAGAGATTTACAGTTCCATACTCCATCATTTCTCACATACTTTTCATCACTGTCTTCTCTGTCTCTCTCTCTCTCTGAGAAATTACAGCATTAAATGTTGTTTTTCTTGCGGGTAATGAGAGTATTACTCTTCCTCTTGTTCGGGCCAAGACACTAATTGGCCTCTCTGCGGTTTCGACGGCTTTCAAGCTCCCGCCTGTGCCTGTCACCTTCCATACAACTGTAAATAGATCTCCCTCTCTCTCTCTCTCTCTCTCTCTCTCTCTCTCTTTCCATCTGTGTATATATAGTTTACCCTACCCTACCCCCCCATCCGTATCTAGAGCTATTCTCCTGTACATAGTAAATGTAATTTGATTTAATTTGTTGTTTTGCTTTTTTTTCCATTTATTTATTTTCGGACCATCGTCGTAGTCGCTTGAGCAATCATCAAACGTATTTGCCTGATCTTTGCATCCACACTGATCCGAAACCGCAGATCACGATCCACGATCCACATTCCGATCTCTCACACACTCTCTCTGTTTTCTGTTTCTTCTGTTTCTGCAGGTGGTACGAAGCACAGCTCTTTTCGCGGCCATCCAGGCAAATATCACATGAATTTAGGTAACAACCACCACTACATAATACCAACAAATAAACATAAACAATACACAATACAGAATACAGTCCCCCCACATTTACACAAAGTTTGTGTCATTCTTGATAATTAAATGGGAGTCGATGGGTTCTTGAACCATGATTGGATGGATTCCCTGTGGGTAGTCATGATGGTTTCGGTAGGGTAGGATAATGCCTCACTTGAGAATCTGCTTGAAATGATCCACTGATAAATGTTATGAGTATCATAATCGATAAACGAAATGATAAATAAACTCTTGTTGAAGATGTTAAAGAACTCTCATCAATCTCATCATAAAATCCACAATAAACAGAATTCACTCTTAAGATAATGCAAACAAAAGTAGCATTTAATCATCCTACAAACACTCGAAACACACACTCCCCAGATAATCATAGATAAATGCTGTTACATGATCTTGGAATCTATGGAAACAATTATGCAATGAGAAATCTCTGACTCAAATGTTTAATTGCCAGTTGATTGCCACTGAGTCAATGCCAAAGTATGGAACATATTCTCCACGAATACTTTTTCCCCACAATTCTATGCGTGAGTCATTGCCCAAAACACAACACACACACACAAATGTAAATGTGGATCTTTAAACTTGCAATGGGACAATGGGTTTTATGGTCTAATCTCCCATTCATATCCAGAGACACACAGCGAGATAGAGGGAGGAGAGTGGGAGTCCCGACCACAGACCACCATTGGAGAACCGAACATTTCCGCTCTGATCCCTCTACGTGCACCCCAACCTACCTACCTACTTATGCTCATATTATTTGCCATTAATATTTCCTGTCTCGCGCGCATAAATTAACGAATGTGTGTTGCTGTGTGCTGTGTGGTTTTGGGGAACCCTTCTCAAAATATGCGAGAATACATTTCATTATGATTTGGCAGAGCTCGTCAGCACTCTGCTCTCTCTGAAGAGTGGCTTCCACTTCCACTTCCACTTTGATGCCCGCTCATATAAATATCAAACAAAAACGCAGAGAGAAATTTACCCAACGGAATGGAATCAACGGAAGTGTTTGCTTTGGTCAAACGCTCAACAAAAGCGGGGAAAAATGTAAATTTCGTTCAATTATTTCAATGGTGTAGACATGCAGAGGGGTGGCAGCCATCGGGATACCCTGTGCTGACATTTCATCAAAGAGAAATGCATTCCAAAGATACACAGCCAGGGGACTGGGATACTGGATACTCAAGTGTAAACAAAGATAGTGTGGGAGTTGGAAGAATCTTCCCACAAGTGCCACTGGGTGGTGCGACGGACTCCACGATTTGTGTAATTTTATGCATAATTCATTTTCTCAATGGAACAAAGAGAGTCGCTTGGAGTGTGGTTGGGGCACCCGCATTCCTAGCGTTAGAAAACGGGTTTAACTCTCCACCAATCCACCGATCGATGGTTCACTAAACTCATCACTGATTCTCCCTCTTTCTCTCTCTCTCTTTTGTAGAAGCTTTGCTGCAGTCGCGTCCATTACCTCACATTCCGGCTGGGAGCACGGCCGCCTCCCTGCTGGCCGATGCAGCGGAATTGCAGTGCAGCGACTCTGGACTGCAGTGCTCCTCCCTGGGGGGACACAGTTCGGCGACATCGGTGTTCGAGTCAACGCATCGCTGGACCTCCAAGGAGAATCTGCTGGAGCCGGGGCCAGAGGAGGATGATCCGCAGCTGTTTGTGGCACTGTACGACTTCCAGGCGGGCGGCGAGAACCAGCTGAGCCTCAAGAAGGGCGAACAGGTGCGAATTCTCAGCTACAACAAGTCCGGGGAGTGGTGCGAGGCGCACTCGGACTCTGGCAACGTCGGTTGGGTGCCCTCCAACTATGTGACGCCATTGAATTCGCTGGAGAAGCACTCGTGGTACCACGGACCCATCTCCCGCAATGCCGCCGAGTATCTCCTCAGTTCGGGCATCAACGGCAGCTTCCTGGTGCGCGAGAGCGAGAGTTCGCCGGGCCAAAGGAGCATCAGTCTGAGGTGCGTGAGATCGATCTATAGCCTCCTTTCCATTTCTTCTATTAACTTCTCTTCCCTTGCAGGTATGAGGGTCGCGTCTATCACTATCGCATCTCGGAGGATCCCGATGGCAAGGTGTTCGTCACGCAGGAGGCGAAATTCAACACGCTGGCGGAGCTGGTGCATCATCACAGCGTGCCCCATGAGGGGCATGGCCTGATTACGCCCCTGCTCTATCCGGCGCCGAAGCAGAACAAGCCCACGGTCTTCCCGTTGAGTCCGGAGCCGGATGAGTGGGAGATTTGTCGCACGGACATCATGATGAAGCACAAGCTCGGCGGCGGCCAGTATGGCGAGGTGTACGAGGCCGTGTGGAAGCGCTACGGCAACACGGTGGCCGTCAAGACCCTCAAGGAGGACACCATGGCCCTCAAGGACTTCCTCGAAGAGGCGGCCATCATGAAGGAGATGAAGCATCCGAATCTCGTGCAGCTCATCGGTGAGTGTCACACACACAAAAAATCAAATTCGAATGTCCATTGAGTCTGCCTCTCTGTTCCAGGCGTGTGCACGCGGGAGCCTCCGTTCTACATCATCACCGAGTTCATGTCGCACGGCAATCTGTTGGACTTTCTGCGCTCCGCTGGCCGCGAGACTCTCGACGCTGTGGCTCTGCTCTATATGGCCACGCAGATAGCGTCGGGAATGAGCTACCTGGAGTCGCGGAACTACATCCATCGCGATCTGGCGGCCAGAAACTGCCTCGTGGGCGACAACAAGCTGGTGAAGGTGGCGGACTTTGGGCTGGCGCGACTGATGCGCGACGACACGTACACGGCGCATGCGGGCGCCAAGTTCCCGATCAAGTGGACGGCGCCCGAGGGACTGGCGTACAACAAGTTCAGCACCAAGTCGGATGTGTGGGCCTTCGGGGTGCTGCTGTGGGAGATAGCCACGTACGGGATGTCCCCCTACCCGGGCATCGATCTGACCGATGTGTATCACAAGCTAGAGAAGGGCTATCGCATGGAGCGGCCGCCCGGCTGTCCGCCCGAGGTGTACGATCTGATGCGCCAGTGCTGGCAGTGGGATGCCGCCGATCGGCCCACATTCAAGAGCATACACCATGCGCTGGAGCATATGTTTCAGGTGGGTGACGTCGAGGTGTGGGATGATGAATATGCAGATGATGATGATTATGAAGATGAAGACGAGGACGAGAACGAGGAAGAAGACGAAGACGAAGACGAAGAGGATGATGAAGTTGAAGAAGAAGTTGACTACGATGGCGACGATGACGATGATCATCCGAGGCGACACAGGAGCCGCCACCGCCGCCGCTGCCACAACAACGTGGTAACGACGACGACGACGACGCAGACGAGACACCCTAGGGGCCATCTTCATCATCTGCGGGATGGCATTGTAGATGTTGAGCTTTGATCGCAATGCGAGGCCACGACTCTCCACGATTCTTCTCGTCGCTCTCCGCATCGTCAGCAGGCAACAATCAAAAGTAGTGATAGCAATAATGACCCACACGGTGCACATCTCTCCTTCTCCGCTCCTCCGCAGGAATCGTCCATCACCGAAGCGGTCGAGAAACAGCTAAACGCCAGCAGCAGCAGCAGCTCCCACAACAATCCCAGCAGCAGCAGCGGCGGCGGCAACACCACCACATCGGGCATCGGTATCAGTGGCACGCAGTCGGCCGCCAGCGGTGCCTCCTCATCGGCCTCGCTCAGCCTCACCCCACAAATGGGAAAGAAGGGTCTGCCAGCGGCCTCCTCCCAGTGCCAGTCGTCGTCTTCCCTAACGCCAAATGCCCATCAGCAGCAGCAGCAGCAGCACGATCCGCAGCAGCAGCTGGCCAGTACACCCATGTCAGGTGAGTGCAGAAGAGTCTCGAGTGTGTGGCATCGTTTAATCTTGTTCTGTCCTGTTCTGTCTTGTTGGGGCTTCCAGAAACCGGCTCCACTTCCACAAAGCTAAGCACCTTCTCCAGCCAGGGCAAGGGCAATGTACAGATGCGACGCACCACCAATAAGCAGGGAAAACAGGCACCAGCACCACCCAAGAGAACCAGGTAGGAGCTGGCACTTACAGATAGTATTTATTTAACCCTTTCCTCTCCCTATCTCTTTTGCAGTCTGCTGTCGAGCAGTCGCGACTCGACATATCGCGAGGAGGATCCAATTAGCGCAACCAATCAGCGGTGCAACTTCATTGATGACCTCAATACGAATGGTATAACAAATACGAGCACCAAATCAGTGCATAGAAATTGCAGCTATTTCAGCCAGACCCTCAGTAGAAATTTCAAAACCCAAATTCCAACACCCCACCAACAACAACAACAACAACAACAGCAATACACACCACAACATCAACAACAACAACCAATACGTACAGCACACGTACAGCTGCCAGTGACAGTGATAGTGCCACTGCCACAACAGAAACAACAACAACAGTATTCCATTAAGAAATCGTCCTCCTGCAGTAGTTTCCTTTACGACATCCTATTTCGAGGTATTATTTGGTCAAAGCGGAGACACCCAACCTCTCAAATTGATCTTCTCCTTTTCCAAATTGTAATGTTTGTTTTTTATCGGTTGTTGTGTTTTTATTTTACATTTTTGTTTTGTTTTGTTTTATTTTTAATGGATCATCGTTTGGATTGGCTTGAGTACTATTATCTTTTCGTTTTTTATTACTTGCTGTGTATGAATTTGATGATGGCTTCCACATGGAATGCACACTTATTTTGTAAGCTATTTTAATTGAAACTTCTATTTTTTTTTAAATATATTCCATGTGGATATAATTTCGATATGCCCACCACATGTGGAATTTATTTTTAAATTGCTTGTTTGAAACCTCATTCCATGTGGAACTCATTTGGATTTCCTTTTTTGTTTAATTCTAAAATTCTTCTAAAATTCTAAATGTTAACCCGTTTTTCGTATGCTTTATTTGTACATCTGTTTAGAGAACTTCTTTCTAGTTCATTTGGTGCTTGTTTTTAGTGTTTCTTTGTTAGTTGATATTCAGTTTTAATAGGTGCCATGCTGGCTCCTTAGATCCCGAACAGGTAACGGCTTCGAGGAGCAGCATAGAGAGACTTCTCCAAGGATTTCTATGTATTTCATTTTGTTGTTCCGTTTATTTCGTTTTGTTTTTGGTGTTTATTACCCCGCTTGAGACAACACACACACACACACACACACACACACATACACACACATGAAAGAATCAGCTGACTTTGTTCGAGATTAACCCATCCGTAATATCCATACGAACCATACTACCCCGCATCCAGCACACGGCACGAGCATTCGTTTGACCCAACAACTAATCGCGGGAACTAATCTTCACTTTGTTGTCTCTCTCGCAGGTCTGGCGCGGGACATTAGCAGCCTCACGCAACGCTACGACTCGGAAACGGATCCGGCAGCAGATCCCGACACGGATGCCACTGGGGACAGTCTGGAGCCGTCGCAGGCCGTCACGCCGAACAAGATGCAGCACTCGCTGCATGGCGGCATCGGCATTGGACCCAGGTCCTCGCAGCAGCACAGCTCCTTCAAGCGGCCGACGCCGGTGATGGGCAACCGGGGCCTGGAGACGCGTCAGAGCAAGCGTTCCCAGCACCATCCTTTGGTGGGCCCCCCGGCAGCACCCAGGGATCAAATGCAGCAGCAGCCACTGCTCAATGGCAGCCCTGCACTGGCCGCTCATCCCATCACTGTGGGCGCTCTGGAGGTGATGAATGTGAAGCGCGTGGTGAATCGATACGGCACCCTGCCGAAGGGCGCACGGATTGGGGCATTCCTCGACAGCCTCGAGGACAGTGGAGGCGAGGCCAGTCCCTCGCCAACGCCCTCGCCTGCGGCCAACGGGCATGCCACTCCGCCGGCCAGGATCAATGCCAGTCCCAAGGCGCCATCGCCGGCCAGCCTGGCCACTCCGCCGCCCCAGCAGATGATCCGAAGCAACTCCTCCGGGGGCGTGACCATGCAGAACAATGCGGCGGCCAGCCTCAACAAGCTGCAGCGCCACCGCACCACCACCGAGGGCACTATGATGACGTTCTCCTCGTTCCGTGCCGCTGGCTGCAGCAGTTCACCGAAGAGAAGTGGCGTGCCCCAGCTGCCAGTTCCCCAACCGGCTCTGGCCAATCTGGAGTTTCCGCCACCGCCGCTGGACCTGCCGCCGCCACCCGAGGAGTTCGAGCCGGGTCCTCCGCCGCCGCCGCCAGCGCCCGAGAGTGCCGTCCAGGCCATCCAGCAGCATCTGCATGCCCAGCACTCGAACAACAACGTCTGCAACGCCAGCAGCATCGGCAACAGCAACAGCAACAACAACAACAACGACAGCAGCACCCACGATGTGAGCAACACTGCCCCGAGCGTCGAGGAAGCCAGCTCTCGGTTCGGAGTCTCGCTGCGAAAGCGGGAGCCATCGACAGACTCGTGCAGCTCCCTGGGCACCCCGCCGGACGCTGCACCCGAGAAGAGCCTCAATCTGAAGGAGAAACTGATTACGGAGATCAAGGCGGCGGGCGGCAAGGAGTCACCGGTGAGCCCACACCTGGCCAACGGATCAGCAGTGTCAGCCATGCCCGTGGATCCCGTCTCCCAGCTGGTCACCGAGCTGGCCGAGAGCATGAATCTGCCCAAGCAAAAAATGACAAATGGCAATGGCTCTGCCATTGTAGGAGTGGGAGTGACTGTAGCTCCTTCAGCTGGATTCAAGGCGCAGCTGAAGAAGGTGGAGCCCAAGAAGATGACGGCGCCCATAGCCAAGGCAGAGCCCACATCCAATATCATCATTGACTTTAAGGCACATCTGCGACGAGTGGACAAGGCGGAGCAGCAGGAGAAGCCGCCAGTTTGCACCACACAGCAGCAGGCGGTGGCAAATAATGCCAATGGCACGGGCACTGGCACCAACACTGGCACCCTGAATCGCAAGGATGACAATAAGAAGTTCTCCCACTCACAGGCCATGCAAAAGACTGAAATCAAAATCGATGTAGCCAACTCCAACGTGGAGATGGAGACGGTAGCGGGAGCGGGCGACAGCAGCGGCGGGGAACTCGGCAAGCGACGAAGCACAGGTAGTATTAATAGCTTAAAGAAACTGTGGGAGCAACAGCCACAGGGCCAGGCTCAAACCCCTGACTATGCCAGTAGTGCGATCATCCAGCAGTCGTCACTTAATGGCGGCTCTTCCACATCCACCACATCCCAGCTATCGCCCAAATACGGGCTCAAAGCATCAATCCCCATGGCCAAGCCAGGCAATAGGCCACCGCCGGCTGCCCCACCACCACCGCCCCCAACCAACAGCACGACCACAACCACCACAACCACCACAGGCACAGCTACAGCTACAGCCATTGCCATGAGGGTGCAGCCACAGCCAATAAAAACCTCTCATTCCACGCAACTCTTCACAGATGACGCCAGCGAGGAGCAGCAAGAGGGAGGACTCGGACTCGGACTCGGACTCGGACTGGGAGGCAGCCACACAGCACCAGAGAATATGACACAGTCGCTGTACGTCCAGAACGAGCTGCAGGGCAGCAAGCACTCGCAATTGCAATCGCAGCCACAGCCACAGCCACAGAAGCCCGCTGTGCCGCATAAGCCCACCAAGCTGACCATCTACGCGACGCCCATAGCCAAGCTGGCGACGGAGAATGGCGCCAGCACGGGCAACTCCACGCAGATATCGAGGGAGAGCATCCTGGAGCTGGTGGGCCTGCTGGATGGCTCACTCAAGCATCCCGTGAACGCCATCTCCGCATCGCAGTGGCTACAGCTGAGCGACAAGCTCAACATTCTGCAGAATTCGTGCGTCATCTTTGCCGAGAACGAGTCAATGCCGCCGCACTCCAAGTTCCACTTCCGGGAGCTGGTGACCCGTGTGGAGTCGCAGTCGCAGCACCTGCGCTCCGCCGGCAGCAAGAACATGCAGGACAACGAGCGCCTGCTCCTGGAGGTGGGACAGTCGCTCAAGCAGATCTCCAATGCGCTGAATAGGTAAATGATAAGAACGGGGATGGATGCGCATGCGCACGAGCAGCAGCCGGGCATCTGGCTGGATGCCGAGGGCAACTTTATCAAGCGAAAGTGACACGGGACACGACACTGGAGAGAATAGAAGAAAACAAACGAAAGAACGAACGAACGAACGAACGAACCATCCAAAACATCCATCCCCAAATCCCGGGAGCCAACAACGAGAACACTTTTGGCTCGCAACAACGAATCGAAACTTCAAGCCCAGCGAAGAAGAGAATAAATTAGAGCAAGTTGATGGACAAAAATAAAGGACAACTACAGCATTAGCAGTAGCATCAGCAGCAGGAGGAGGAGGAGGAGGAGCATCAACAGCATCAGTATCAACTATAACTAAAAAGCGGAGAGGAGAGGAATGAAACCTATGTAGTAGTAGTAGCAGTAGCCTCTATAACATATACACACACACACACACATATATATATATATATATATATATATATAATCTATATGTACATCTAGTCAGATCTGTGCAGAAAGCTTCGAGGAAAACAAAACAAAAATCGAGACAAATGAGTTGCAAAGCAAATTTCTGTAATGGGGATCTCTGAGCCCCCCTTAAGCGGAGATCCCCGCTTTTAATTGTAAAGTATATTTCGTTTCCCAAACAGAAGATAACCTAAATCCTTCCCTAATCAACCCAATACCCAAATCTCCTCTGCCACGCCCCAGCAAACCCCGAACGTATAGACACGTGTATTCTCGCTTCGTTTGTTTTAATCGTACATATATAGCGTATATAGAAAGACACAAGAGATGGCTTAAAAGAAATGGAAAGAAGGGAAAAACAAATATTCATAGAATATCTCAATAAATTTAGTAATTATACACGAAACGCAATGCATATACATATATACACTAAAATATACACTAAATTATATATATATACTAGTCGTAAAATGTTTTATTATACCTATACATATATTATAAACTATATATTATACATACTTCTACAAGATAAAGATATTATATATAATAATAATTAGTGACTCTTCCCCCAAGTAAAGTGAAGGGGAACCGAAACTCCTCTCGGAATGTGTAGGGTGTCCGTGTGTCTTGTCCCATTTACATAAATACATATACATACATATATATCTATGATCATGATCTATGTGTGTACGTGTACTCGTACTTGCACACGCAGTAGCCAAGCCCAAAGATATTATTATTAGCTGATACAAAAAAGAGCGATACGACTCGTACTACTCACATTGATACGTTTAGCAATGGCAAAGACTCAATTGGTTTATGTTTAATCTATGTTTCGAGTGCAAAGAGAATGCTTTTATCATACACATTACACATACTACAATACCATAAACAATTGTAATTATTTAACTGATATTTTCAAGGATTTTAAACAACAATTTTATACGTAACGAGGAAAAACCACACAAATAAAAATCATTTCAAAATACACAACACACATCTGGAAAGAGATATCGAAGAGATAGGGGCGGCAGTCTAGCCTATATACCCATTAACAAAGTTGATATAATTATATACATATATGGATGTGCGTATAATACTTTGCCTTTCTTTAATCCCACAAAAATCTGTCTGTCTAGCGACAACAACCAGAAAGCTGATAAAGCCCCAAAATATGCGTACACACACAAATACATCAATATATTTCTGTAACTTCTATGATACACCCCAAGCGGTTGAAATGCGCAACAGATACTAATATCTACCAAGAAAACGGATCAAAAACAAAGTAATTCAATGAGAAATAAAAATGATATTTAAAAATGTATTTAAACTTTCATACCAGCGGGGGATTCAGTGCTGTGAAACGTTGTTGGCGTGTTCCAGGGCCGTATCTGTTTCCCACTCCACAACGCACACCTTGCAACATTCTTAGAGATGCGACTTTTGTATCGATGATGGACACGTACCTTGTTGTGCTAGCACACCTTGTGAAAGTCATGTAGGAGTTCCGTACAATTTCTTTTGTGGCCCTCTTATGGAAAACCAAATTATCATTTAAATCGCTGTCATGCCCAATTGAGACATTGGAATCTACTTTTTCGAAAAGTTTCATCGAAAAAGCCTACACATGATATACATCGATAGATCGATATACATTCAACAAATCCTACTCGGCAAGAGGAAAAAGACGAAATTAATATATAATAATAGAATATTATACCGTGATAATATTGCCAAGCGATCTTATTTGTGTCTTCAGCATCAGCAATTGGGCAACGAAAGCCACGACCTCAAAGGTACGACAGCAAACGAAAGCAAGAGCAAGCCAGCCAGCCAACCAGCAGCAGCAACAACAACAGCGCAGCAGAAAGTCAGTCAGCAGCCACCACAGAAGATACGAGACCGAGTCAGCCAGCCCGAAAAAGAGCCCAAGACAGCAGCAGCAACAGTAGCAGCAGCAAGCATAATGCCACTCTTTGGGAAGTCCCAGAAGTCGCCAGTGGAGCTGGTCAAGTCGCTGAAGGAGGCAATCAATGCCTTGGAGTCGGGCGACCGAAAAGTGGAGAAGGCGCAGGAGGACTGCAGCAAGAATCTGGTGTCCATCAAGAATATGCTATACGGCAGCAGCGACACAGAGCCGCCAGCGGACTATGTGGTCGCGCAGCTGTCGCAGGAGCTGTACAACAGCAATCTGTTGCTGCTGCTCATACAGAACCTGCACAGGATCGACTTTGAGGGCAAGAAGCATGTGGCGCTGATATTCAACAATGTGCTGCGGAGACAGATTGGCACCCGGTCGCCCACAGTGGAGTACATCTGCACGAAACCGGAGATCCTGTTCACACTGATGGGCGGCTACGAGGATGCGCACCCAGAGATTGCCCTGAATTCGGGCACCATGCTGCGGGAGTGCGCCCGCTACGAGGCCCTGGCCAAGATCATGCTCCACTCGGACGAGTTCTTCAAGTTCTTCCGGTATGTGGAGGTATCCACCTTCGATATCGCCTCCGATGCCTTTTCCACCTTCAAGGAGCTCCTCACGCGCCACAAGCTGCTGTGCGCGGAGTTCCTGGACGCCAACTACGACAAGTTCTTCTCGGCGCACTACCAGCGGCTGCTCAACTCGGAGAACTATGTGACACGGCGCCAGAGCCTGAAGCTGCTGGGTGAGCTGCTGCTGGACCGTCACAACTTCACCGTGATGACGCGATACATTTCCGAGCCGGAGAACCTCAAGCTGATGATGAACATGCTGAAGGAGAAGTCGCGCAACATCCAGTTCGAGGCGTTTCACGTCTTCAAGGTGTTCGTGGCGAATCCGAACAAGCCGAAGCCGATCCTGGACATCCTGCTGCGAAACCAAACGAAACTGGTCGACTTCCTAACCAATTTCCACACGGACCGATCCGAGGACGAGCAGTTCAACGACGAGAAGGCCTATCTGATCAAGCAGATAAAGGAGCTGAAACCGCTGCCCGAGGCCTAGTTGACCATCGATGGATGGTCAATGTCGGCGCCTGGGGCAAACGAACCATAACGAGAACGAGATCAAGAACAGGAACATCATCTGGGCCATCGATGGTGGGTCAGTCAGACAGCAGGAAGGAAGGAAGGAAGGAGAAAAAGGTTTTGTGTGTGTGGGTTAAAGCAAATATATATTATATATACTATACTATATTTTGTGACGATGAGACAGACGATGACTACACTTGTGAGTAACTAAACAATAATTTAGACACCAACCACAATGATACTGATAAAACATAACGATAAAGCTAAACAAAACAAAACACATAAAACAATGAGTAAGAGTAAATAGCGTAAAGAGAAGTAATAATGTTGCGAATTTAACATATAAATACATTAAACACACGACCCCGAACCGAACCGAACCGCACCGAACCCCGGCACGGCCCGGCCCCCTCCACAATGGCCACGGCCACACCTCTCACATCGCCTCGGCTCACCTCAATCCAGCTTTTATGTTTTTCATTTCTTTCTTTCTTTTCTGCCTTTTTTTCTCCACGTTCCACACGAAGTGATTCGGATTCGAGAGTGTGTGCGGTTCGTTGTTGTTTTTCCAGTTAAGAGTCGTCGAATTGGATTGGATTTGATTCCTCATCGTTTGCTTTTCTTTTCCCCTCTAGACCTATTTTCCTATTCCCCTGTTCAGAATAGTTGTATTTGAAATTGAAGCGTTTTTTAAAAACGAACCAACACGCCCCCACCCGGCCCACTGTCCCTTGCCCTCCTGCCTCCGGCCACCTGCCTGACTGAGGAAGTCAATGAAGATTCGAAATGAGTTTTGACCTAAAAATGTAATTCCACGCAAAATTCATGATGAAAAGAAACTAAGTACTAAATACCGCGTAATAATAATAATTCATAGTGATAATTGTTTGTGCATCCTTTGGCATAGACTGCATAGAGAAGAGAGAGTGGGAGCCACACAACACACACAGACACACCACAGAACACACATACATATGTACACACATTACTACAAAGGGAAGTAAAACAACAACATTGCGAGCATAATAAATATACGATTATTATAATTTATATTATTCCCAAAATTAAAGAGCCAAACTAAAAGAGAAATACAATTAGTCATATTCTTTGCCGGGCTTGTTGGGCAATGGGTGAGGTGGGGGTGTTAGTGATTTCTTTTCCCCGCCCCGCCCTGAGTCATGTGCAGAGTTGCCAGGGCGGCAGTGGCGGCAGATCGATCAAGGGCTGGGCAGCTACACATTTCACAGAAATGACATTTATTTTAGTGTATACTTAGAATAGATTTAGTTACGCTAACTAGGGCTACATAGAATATGTACTATGAGATATGCGATTCCTGACCTAGCGCCGCTTTTTCTTCTCCAGCTTGCGGATCTTGTGTAGGCGTGCCCTCACCGGCTCACTCTCCCTCTCCGCTTCATTGGTGTCCACCGCCTCCTCACCGGCCATCAGCACAGCGGCCGAAATGCATACGAACTGGAATATGGCTCCCACATAGAGTCCATACCGTATCAGTACACTGAACAAGTCCTCCTCTCCATATTTATCTAGGGAAGCGGCGGCTGCCGCACCCGTGACAATACTCTCCACAGATGCCGACATTTCGAATTTCACAGATAATGCAAAAAACAATAGAACAATAGTTTGGGTTTTTCAAGATTTGTTTAATTGTTTGTATTGAGTAGGGATGGGAAACTGGAATATATCGATGTATCGTATCCCACACTCATTCTAGTCGCGGCAGCCAAGTTACTTATCACCAATTTTTGCATAATATATAATAGATTTTATTAGTAATAGGGCAACACAAAGTTTAATTATGTCATGTTTTCGGCTGGCAACTGCCACAGCCCTAGCGGCTACACGTCCAATGTCGGTAAGCGGCAGGACCTCGCGATTTCTGTGCAATAGAGCGCATCAGGAATTTGCATTGGCCCGCCGCCCCTTTAGCAAAACAACATCACCACCAGGCAATGGCAATGGCGTGAAGAAGCCCCCAAATGGAACATTCAAGCTGGCGCTGTTCGGAGCTGTTCTGGGCGCAGTCACGGGATCAGTCTACACAGTGTATTCGCGGTGGACTGATATCGACTCCCACAAAGAGCACGAGCACACGCCGCCCAAGCGTGTGGAGAACATGCCGGCGGGCGTGCGTATAACCAAGCGTTACGTGAACCCAAAGGACACCTCCGGGCTGGACATTGTGTTGTTCCAGTTCCAGACATGTCCGTTCTGCTGTAAGGTTCGAGCCTACTTGGACTACATGGGCGTGTCCTACTCCGTTGTCGAGGTGGATGCTGTACTCAGGCAGGATATCAGATGGTCGGTGCTGAAGAAAGTCCCCATGGTGCTCTTGCGGCAACGGGATGGTGATGGTCAATACGTGCAAATGGTTGACTCCAGTGCCATTATATCGCTGATAGCTACGTATCTGCACGACAAGCGCACCGATATCCTCGAGCTGGCAGAATTCTACCCACACATTTCCTTCTTTGACGACGAAAGCAAGAAAAAGACGGACATCTTGAACAAGTACTTCGTCATGTATCAGGATCGTGCACCCAAGAATGTAACCAAGGAAACGGAGGAGTAAGCGCAAGTGAATTTAACATTCCCCGATTGTCCTCATTCAATTGTGTCCTTACAGAATTGAACGCAAATGGAGGAGCTGGGCGGACGACCACTTGGTGCATCTCATTTCACCAAACTGTTACCAGAGCATGGAAGAGTCGTTGGAGACATTTGAGTGGTTCTCAAAGGCGGGCGAGTGGGATGTGCATTTTCCGAAGTGGGAGCGAAATCTGATGGTTTATTGCGGGGCCGTAGCCATGTGGGGGATTGCCAAGATGTTGAAACGTCGTCATGCTCTCACCGATGACGTCCGATCTCACATGTACGATGCCCTGGACAAGTGGACCACCGAACTGAAGAAGCGAAACACAAAGTTCATGGGCGGAAAGCAGCCTAGTCTGGCGGATCTCTCAGTTTTCGGTGTCCTGAGCAGTATGGAGGGATGCCAGACATTCAAAGACTGCCTCCAGAACACAAGCATTGGTAAATTGTTAATTTGTTTTCATAGAAAAACAAGACTAAAATAAGTATTATTTTCTCTGTGTATTTTCAGGCAAATGGTTTTATGACGTCAAGGAGATTGTGGAAAAGAACCGAGGACAACTGCACAGGGAACGCATTGAGGGTGTCGTTTTGCCGGCTTAGAACGAACAATTGCATACATTTACCCAAAGATTGTTATACACGAATAAAATAACAAGTTAATTCTTTTTTGAAACAATCGATAGGCAAAAATTCGCGACATTTCACCTATAATATCGCCAAGCTATCGATAGCATTTATTTGACAGCTGAATATCGAATGTCATTTTGTGGAGAACGCCGCTCGAAACTTGCAAATCATTCGTTCGTCTTTTTTACTTCGGAAAATAAGAAATAAAACCTGAAATTATGAGCAGCCTAGGCTTTGAGCAATTCCCAGACTACCAGGTCCCTGGTGTGTCGCACGCTGACTTTTCACCATACGAGTCTAATGGCGGGTGAGTCTCACATAAAATGCAAAGTTCATTGGTGTCCGGCTAACGTTGGGTTTGCCTTGCAGCTCCATTGTGGCCATCGCCGGCGAGGACTTTGTGGTCATTGCCGCCGACACACGCCTGAGCAGTGGCTACAACATTCACACGCGCACACAAAACAAGTTGTTCCCTCTGTCGAACAAGACGGTGCTGGCCTCCACGGGCTGCTGGTGTGATACCCTCTCGCTGACTGGCCTGATGAAGGTGCGCATGCAGAGCTACGAGCACACACACTTGAAGACCATGACCACCGATGCCGTTGCCCAGATGCTCTCCATCACCATGTACAACCGTCGCTTCTTCCCCTACTATGTGTCGAACATTTTGGCTGGCATCGACAAGGACGGCAAGGGCGTCGTGTTCTCCTACGATCCCATTGGGCATTGTGAGCGTGCCACTTACCGTGCTGGCGGCACAGCGGGCTCGTTGCTGCAGCCCGTGCTGGACAACCAGATTGGCTACAAGAACATGAATCTAAATGGCGAAGAACCCCCAGTGCTAACCAAGGATCGTGCAGTGGCCGTTGCCTCGGACACCTTTATCTCGGCCGCGGAGCGCGACATCTACACTGGCGACTTCGTGCTGATCAATATAATCACCGCGGATGGCATTGAGACCAAGGAGTTGCAGCTGCGCCAGGACTAGATCAGTTAACACATCTAAAAACAAGCGGTCAGGTGCATTTCAACAGAACTTTTTGTAAAATCCAGATACATAATATAATAATAAAATGGATCTTTAAGATTTTGGCTTGGCCTCACGAGCACTTTGATAATAGTTTTAGCATTTAGCAAAAAGAGCTTTAAATCCACACAAAATGTAATTAATTGTTCTACATGGCCACTACACAGGGTTGCAATTTTCACAGAGACACCTGGAAGTGCAATGTGCCGGCAAACACACACATGCACATATAAACATTTTAATGCAGTTTTTGTTGTTTGATTGTTGCGCTGTTCAATGAGAAATTTGAAATTCGTGGTGCTGTTGCTTCTCCCTATCCTCCTGTCCTCTGTTCTCATCTCATCCAAGTCCCCTCCTGTGCAGATGATGGCCGCTCTGGTGAAGCCGGGAGTCTTTCGGCATGTGACATGCCTCAACAATATGTACCCTCGCAGTGGCGTCCTTCGTTTCCCAGTTGCCGAGGAGCAGGTATTTTGGTCGGAGCCATATGTCGAATACTGCCCGCCCTCGTATACAGCTCCACATATTGGCGGACAGGTGTGGGCCGATGCGCCGTTACCAAGTGAAACGTTCCAGCCGAAATGGAACCACAATGATGGTCAGGTGAATCGTGAGTCCTTCCATGGTGCCTACGAAATAAAGGACGGCCTGCCGCGCAATCCAATCGGACGCACAGGTCTGAGCGGTCGAGGTTCGTTGGGCAGGTGGGGTCCCAATCATGCGGCCGATCCCATTGTCACCCGCTGGAAGCGCAACTCGAATGGAGAGATCGTGGACAATGCAGCCACCGGAAAGTGAGTGAATGTTCTACCTGGCCTTTGATGGACTTTAAAGGGTTTCATTCTACTTCTTTCAACCAGGAACATCCTGCAGATGGTGGCCATTCAGCGTTCCGACAACAGGCTGTGGGCCATTCCGGGTGGCATGGTGGATCCCGGCGAGAACGTGAGCGCCACACTCAAGCGAGAGTTTACCGAGGAGGCTCTCAACTTCACCGACAACGCCAACATGGTGGAGAAATTCTTTACGGAAGGTGGTGTCCATATCTACAGCGGCTATGTGGACGACTTCCGGAACACCGACAATGCCTGGATGGAGACAACGGCTCTGAACTTCCACGACGAGGACGGCAGCCAGGTGGGACAGCTGAAGCTAGTGGCCGGCGACGATGCTGCCAACGTACGATGGACCGATGTGGGCAGCAGTCTCAAGCTGCACGCCAACCATGCGGACATTGTCAGGGAAGTGGCCATCAAGCGGGATGCGCACTGGTAGAAACCAGTAGAAGAATACTCTCAGATCGGAATATAAATAAATTATTGCCAGACTATAGGTTAGTTTTCATTGATTCGTTTAATTTATTTCAGACTATTCATATCGCTTTGCAATTATAAATTAGAAAACATTTCATTAGCTCGTACCGTGCATCCGTGTATCTCTCTGAGGGATTGACTTCTTCGAGAGTTTAAATGATCCATACTGTGTGTATAATTTTGTTTCAACTTCGACCACATCATGGACAGATTGTGGGATGTTTGCTGACTAAATAATTTGAGATTTTGGCGTAAAACTGCCACGAATGTGTATGAGCTAGTAATAGTTGAGAGGTCTGACATTGGGGCTGCTGCTGCTGCTGACGCTGCTTAGAGGGACTGCACGAAGGCGCACAAATTCGGACTCGAGTTGGCCACGTTGTTAAAGTGACCGGGATAGTCGTTGCGGATCTCCTTCACAAAGGCAGCCATGTTGGCGGCCATCTCATCGTCGCTAAACTCGCGCTTGAACAGCACGTGCAACAAGACGTTCAGCATCTGCTCAATGTGGTTGGCAATGCTGGGACGCGCATTCTGGTAGAGCATTCGGAATGCCTTCAGCACAACGTCATTCTCTTCAGTGTCCTCGCGCAGGGGCAGACTGGACATGAAAACGGGCAGCACATGATCCAGGGGCACCATGTTGTGATTGGTTATGATCAGGCGCGACACAGCGCCGCAGATATTGTCCAAGGCAGGAGCATTCTGCTCCTTGGCGATAGCCTCAGACAGGGCCTGTAAAATCACACCAAACGAGCTGCAAATTGGACAAATGTAATGCTATAAGTCGCGTGATTGCTCACGGTGTTCACTGCACTCACTCGAAGGACTTCTCTTCTGCGTGATAGACCAGCTCGCCCAGGCCGAAGTAGCTGTTCTGACGTGACTTGGCGTACGAGTCGGTGGTGCCCGCCAGCAACACGGGACAGAGCGAATCGAAGTAGATGACCACACAAAGGCCCAACGACTGGAAGCATTCGGCCAGGACGCCATAGATGAAGGAACGCTGATCTGGATCGTCGTTCTTCTTTGCCTTTTCCTACAGAAATTGATATTGAAATGGAAATGGTTATGCCGATCTTCGGATCTCCTCCAGGTCTTTGGTACATACCAGCTTGGTCAAGAAGAAAGTGTACATGCGCCCAAAGTACAGGGAGTATGTCTCAGGTTCCAGGGAGTGGCCAATCATTGCCACCAGGTTGCCAGCACTCTCGATGAGTGCCTCATCGTACTCGCTTTCATCGGCCTCCTCCTCGTCGCCGCCGCCACTCGGCTCATTGAACTGACAGGCTGTGTTGTTAAGCAGCACGTCTTTAATGCATCCAATGACCGCCTCGGCAAGATCAGGCGTCGGCAACGCCGCCCTTCCAACGTCCTTGAACAGGTCACCAAGATCTTCGAGGACTTGACAGACGACACCCTGCTCCTCGTCGTTCTTTACCAGCGAAACAAACTTGGGAATGAGGATAGTGCATGCGCGCTTTACTCCGTCTACGTCGTTCATCTTGTGGAGGGTAACGACGAATGCGCAGAGCGCCGCAATGGCTGCCTTGCGGACAACATCCTGGCCGTGATCAATGGTCTTGTACACCTCCTCGAACACCATTGTCAGGTAGGGGGCAAAGGCGGTGCTCGAATTCTTAGCGAACTCCTTGAGCGTCATTATGGCCTCCTCCTTCTCAAAGACGTAGTCGTTCTCCACTTGATAGTCTCCAATATCGTCGTCATCATCGTCCTCGTTGTCGGTGTCGCCCAAGTCGATTTCGGTCAGGAGGCCGCCGGTGGGCGAGTCCTCGCGCACCTTTACCAGCGTATCCTCGGTCGATACGACCGACTGGATCAGGCGTTCGATCACCTTCGGGAAGATGGATGTCATATTGTCTGTGATAACGACAGACAGGGCTCCAATGAGAGAGTAGATGGCACGTCTCAGGTCCGGATCGTCAGGGCCCTTCTCCAGCATATTCGTGCAATAGTTCATCGTGTCTTGGACGAGGTGCATAAAGTTCTCCTTGCCCACCGTTCGGGTGATCGCGGCCAGTGTATCGATGGACTGAATGCGCAGCTCATTCAGCTCAACGGCACAATCGTTCACCAGATAGTTCTTCAGTATGTCCACAATGGGATTAAAATACGGCACCAAATTCGCCTTCGAAGCGGTGGCCACCGACGAGATGGTGGACAGGGCGAGCTGTCGAATGTGAATCGAGTTCTGTTGATCCATGCACTCGAATAGACTGATGGATAAATGGATTAAATATGGATTACAAATGGACATAGAAAGTGATTAATTACCGAGCCATCAGCACCGGCAGATGTGGTACAATCTCCTCCTCGAGGTTCTCGCAGAATACATCCAGGGCATAGAACATGCGATCCATGTGGGTGGGCTCTGGCTGGCCCCTCTGTAAATGTTTACCAAAGACTCTGGTTAGCTGTGTGTTCGATGCACTTAAAGTTTAAGGTGCTGCGTGAATGTGGCATGAAAGAGAAGCCCCTTTGGACAGGGACATGGACATGTTGATGCAGTGCAAGAGGTAGTCAAGAAAATAAAGAACAGAAACAGCACCCTATACTTGGCGAGCACCGATATGCGCTTGATCTGTAACTGACTCGTGTACATTATTGTATCTTTGGCCGGGGGGGCTGCTGCAGTAGCATGGCCCCTCCCATGGCCAGCCTTTAGGAGCAGCAGCACAAACAAAAGAATTTACAATACATAAATATGAAGATACAAAGACTGGCGCGTTACTGACTGAGTTTGGCATGGAAAACACCTACCTGCAGCTCGGCAACCAGTTGTTGGAGAAACTCAAACAGCACGGGCAGAATCTGTGGTGCGAATTTGGATATTTCGGGCTGCATAAACTCCGAGAACTGGCCCAGGGCAAAGAAGGCTGCGTTGCGCACAGATGGATCCTGATCGATGATGCCGCCCTTGATGATGTTCAGCATAACTTCAAGGTACTTCCGTTTAATGGCCTCCGAACAGCCCTCGGAAATGAGGGCCATGGACATGAATGCGGCGCGACGGCGCAGTGGGTCCGGGTTTTGCAGAGCAGGCTCGAGAATCTGCAACAGTGGTGGAATCAGCTTCTCTGGCGACATCTGGAGAGCCATCACATCGAGGGTTTGAGAGGCCGCAGTCATGGGAGTGTTGCTGGTCCCCGAGAAGTATTCGTCCTCTAAAGAAGTTTTCGGATTAGCAGAGCCATTTGGCTGACAGTTATAGAAGCTTCAAACGAACCATCATCGTTGTCGTATTCACAGCACATCATCTCGAAGACGACGAGCAGGATGGGTTCCAGGAGCTTCTGCTTGACGATTGCCTTCTTCTTGACACGGATCATGCGACCCACGAAGGTGACCACCAGAATACGAATCTGATCATCGATCTCCTTGTTGCCCAGCGCCGCCAGGCAGAAGTCAACCAACAGCTTGATGTAATTATTCAACAGTTTCGGCACATACTCGGCCAGCGAGTCTATGATCTCAAATGCGGTGGTGAATTCTGCTACGACTCCCTTTTGGACAAAGGCCTGGAGTGCAAAGACCATCAGTGGGACGACCTTGGCCACCGTCTGCTCTGCGCTTGTGTGGCCGACAATGAATGGAATCAGGGAGCACATTCCCTCCATCATATTGGCCACAGTGGGGGTGGCCATGTCTCCATTGGCCTGGGCGGTGTTCAGCACACTCGAGAAGAGCTGACAGATCTCCGACATTTGGCTGACCAACTGATCTGGCGCGGAGTCGGTCAACGTGGCGAAGATGGACGAGCCCAGTTCGCTCTCTTTGGGATCGGCCATGCTGCAGCGTTGGAAAATGAAGGTCAGCAATTCGGCCAACCACGAGTCCTTTTTGTCCGCCTCATGACGCACTAGAGTCCCAATAACCTGGGCAATGGCAGTTTTCACGCCCTTCTCCTTCTCCCTTATCAACGCCTGGAGCATGCAAGCCTTAATGCTGCGACGGAACAGAATGTCAGGAAATAGTCGCTTATAAAACAAACGGCCATCCATCGACTTACCCTTCCTGATGCTCGGGCGGCACCATCTGCCAGTTGCGCAGCTTCAGGAGACGCTTGTTCACCAGCACAACTGCCAAGTGGCGCGCCTGTGTCTCGCGATTCGAGACTAGCATTTGGCAGAGCACTGGCAGGGCCTCGGGATTCTCGAACGCCTTGCTCAAAGCTGCGGTACTCTAGAAAAACGGTAACGTACATACATATACATGCATATATAATTTCAGCATTAATAATTGTTCAATTAACGGGGAGCCTGCGCGTGTGTGTGCGTGTGTTCACAACGTGTTCGCTCTCTAACGCGAATGATTTTTGCGGAAATATATACGGTATAGAAGTACAAGAAATCACGTGCCAATAGATGCTATGCATAGGCATGTTCGCATTATAGCTTCTTGCCTATTAATGGCAAGTAAATGGGAGGAAACGGCTCCGAGAACGGATAACATCCTTTTGTGTGCTTACCTCGTGTATACGTTTGGTTTCTGTGCACATCAGACCGGCAATTATTTCATCCAATGCCGCCTCCATTGTATACTTGTGAATTTTTTCTCTCGTTTACTCAATATATTAAATTTAAGGATTAAATTAACTGAGACTGAGCACACGCCTGCTTATGTCGATTAATGCCGCCGTCGAAAGAGATGTAACCATATCGATATATTTCTGAAGTATTTCTCGCAGTCGACTATCGGTTGAAGGCAACTCTGTTCGGAATTGTCACGCTCCGTCTGATCAACACTGGAATTGGCGCCCATTTTGGAACCAAGCGTCGCCTTTTTTGCAGAACTAAATTGTTATTGTTTTGTTGCAATTGTGAAAAACTAGTAAGCGCAATGGATAAAGGCAATAGGAGCCCTCGAAATACCAGCCCAATGGAACAGACCTCGCTGGGCATATTGAGCTTGGATAATCTCAAAGGTTAGCAGCAGCGCAAGAATGCGCAAAGTTTGTGCGAATTTACATAAATTCTGATATTTGCAGTGTTTGGTGACTTGTCCAGCTTCAGCAGGAGCGGGAACGGAAGCGGCATGGGTCTCAGGGAAGCCTCCAATGTGCACGAGCGACTGCGGGCAGAGCGCCTGCGAGCCAAGGAGACACTGGAAAAGGCACGTCCGCGCTCCAGTCAGGCAAAGGGCCAACCAACGAAGGGCCGACCGAGCGCCCTGCCCAGCAACAGCTCAAACATCTCGGAGCTGGTCACCGATGAAACAATCGATCTGAACAGCAGCGGCTCATTTGCCATGCCCACGCCAGCGCAGAAGGGCAGAAATATTTCGTTCGAGCCGGCCGAGATCACCGGCCGCTCGACTCTCTGCCGCAGCGACAGGGGCAGGAAAGTGGTCTCGGTGTCCGACATAATAAAAACATCGTTTGTGGAGAAGGCTCGTCTGCTGGAGAAGAAGCTGCACAATGGCAGCCAGGCGAATGCGGGCTGCAATTGTTCAAACACCAAATCCAAATCGAATGTGAATGTGAGCAGCCTGACGGAGTCGGAGTCTTCGTTCAACTCGTCGCACAGCCTGCCGCGCACCGCTGATTTGAGTAATTTGAGCTTGAACGGCGGCGGAGGCTTCTCCTTCGGCTCGGAATCTGCGGCAGCTGGCCAGGACATGGACGAGAGCTTCGCACCGGCCGAGCTGATGCAATCGAAGCTGGTTCAGGGCGAGATATCCTGGGCCCAAGAGTTCACGGCCATGCCCACAGCAACGCTGAGCAATCAGGCAATGCAAAAGATTGCCGCTCCCCCACCAGCATCCGACATAGAAACGTCCGTGTCCAAGTGAGTTCAAGCGATTAATTTTTTAATGGTTTCCCTTATTGATCCGCACTCTGCGCTCTTTTCAGCTCTGTGCTGGCCGGGGATCCGGACTTCTCCTTGGGCTACTACTTCCAGACACGCTCGGAGAATATTTGGAACATTGTGAGCAACGACCCTCCCGAGCGAATGCTGGAGGAGAACCCTCCTGCCACTCCCACATTCAACTCTCTCGTGGCGAACACACCGCAGCCCGACAACAAGACCTACACCAAGGCAGAGGCCTCGAACATGGGCTCCAAATTGGGGCAGAATCTCATGAAGAAAATGCAAAATGCAAAGAAGAAATTTCAGACCGCCATCCAGCCCAAGAGCGGAGCCGGTGCGGAGACGATGCGTCCGCCCTCGAGCTCCGAGATATTGAGTCTCTCGGCCATAGACAAGGCCTTGCGGGATCTCGACTTTAATTCAGACACCTCCACCCTGGAGGTGGTCGAGCGACTGCGAAAGCATGGCCGTGGCCAGGGGCAGGGGCAGCAGCTGCACGCCGATGAGGACAAGGAAAACGACAGCTTCAATGCGGAGCGAACGCTGTGCGACTCGCACAAGCTAACGGATACCATGAGCTTCACAGACTCCGTCCTGGACTCCACGGACTTTAAGCATTTGCAACAGAGCGTGTCGCGGAAAGCACTGAGTCCGCTGGCGGACAAACCCCAGATCTTGGTTTCGTGTGCGGACAACGACTCCGTCTTGGCGGACGTGGATGAGTGGCCATCGTCGCCATTGAAGTCACCCAGGCGTGTGCGTCGCGTCAAGACATCCCCAGCTCCCCCAGCTGTGAGTCCAGCGAGCAGCGACAGCGTGCGACGCTCCAAGGCATTTCCTTCGCCCCGAGCAGTGAGTCCAGCGAGCAGTGACGGCATGCGCCGCCCCAAGACATCCCCAGCTCCCCGAGCTGTGAGTCCAGCGAGCAGCGACGTCGTGCGCCGCCCCAAGCCATCTCCGTCTCCCCGAGCTGTGAGTCCAGCTGGCAGTGACTGCGTACGCCGCCCCAAGCCATCTCCGTCTCCCCGAGCTGTGAGTCCAGCTGGCAGTGACTGCGTACGCCGCCCCAAGCCATCTCCTTCTCCCCGAGCTGTGAGTCCAGCTAGCAGTGACGGCGTGCGGCCGCTGCCTACCACAGACGAAGATGGCGATGAGGTGGATGTGGACAAGACTCCAGTCAACAAGAAGCTGCACACTCACAGGGGCTCTCTCCGTCCGGCCAATTCTAATGGCAGCCGCACCACATTGAGCTCCACTCGCCTCGATGGCTGCGACGCTGTGCCCTCGTCCACAGAGGGTGAGTTTGCCATTTCGCCGAGTCTCGCCAAGAGTCCCTCACTCTCCGCAGCGGCCACAGCCCGTAATCTCTCGCCAATGTGCTCGCCGAGAAGCTGCCTGTCCTCCCCACTGCTGGACAGCACCACCAGCTCCGAGCGGCGACAACTGATGCCCGGGGCAGCGCTTCGCAAAACCAATTCCTCGCCGGCAGGCAGCGAGGCAAGCTGCACGAGTGGATGCACAACAGCAAGACGCGGCGCCGTCACCAGTGCCAGTGCGCGCAGCATCTCGCGCTGCTCCAACTCCAGCGAGTTCAGTCATCGCGATGGAAAGCTGCTGCCATTGAAGGTAACCCACACGAGCCTCTGCTGGGGCAGCACCAAGCTGCGCACGGACATGCGAAAGTCCATGCAGGTGAAGAATACGGCGGACAAGCGGCTTGTCGTCCGCCTGGGCATCCAGGGACCCGGCTTTCAGCTGGTCGGCAGCGACAGCAGCACCATCACCCTGCAGGCCATGGAGTGCCGCAGCATTGTGATTAATTTCTGCCCCACCGTGTGTGGAGCGGCCATTGGAGCGGTGTCCTTCTATGCCCCACTGGGCGCAAACAGCAGCCAGCCCGGCATGGAGATCCCCCTGTATGGGTACGGCGGAAATGCGGCCATTTCCATTCAGGGCCTGCTCAAGGGGCCGGTCGGTGCCAGTTTCCTCACCATCGGGGACGTGTGCGAGCTCTCCTCCGGCCCGCTCACGGCCAGCTTCAAGTTCCTGAACAAGGGGCCGCTGACAGCCTTCGTGGGCATCTCTGTGGACTCGACGGTGCTGATGAAGCTGCGTCTGAGCGAGGCGTTCGAGGTGCGTCCCAGCAAGTTGATTTTGCCGCCCCATACGGAGAGCACGGTGCAAGTAATATTCCGCCCGAATCGTGAGGATATGAAGAACATACTGAAGAAGACCTCGCAGGTCCTGACGCTGGCCAACATGCGCATCTTCTGCGGGGACGAGCCCAACAGGCAGAGAATGCGTCACCTGGTGCATCGCATGAGCAGCAGGCAGCGGGAGAAGCTTACCTCCGCCATGCTGGACAGCCTTTGGAGCCCCTTTCCAGACGAGCAGCCTGTGCGGAATATTTGTCAGCTGAACGAGCCGCCCGAGTTTATCCTGGATCTGGTCACTGTTGTGAAGATCATCGACGTGGCCTTGACCCTGAATCGTGACTTCGATGAGTCCGCCGAGACGTCGCTCCTGTTCCTGCCGGAGGCCGAGGAGACCGTCCTGTTCCGCACCATCTGTGCCGCCAACTCTCCCACTCCCACACAAAGCAACATGCTGGAGCCCGTCGATGAGCTGGAGCACGAGGCGGATACAACCACAATGCTGCTGCCCGTGGAGCGAAACTGGTCTGTGCAGCCGGCTTCAATTGAGCTCGGTGCTGGGAGCATTGCAAAACTGTCCGTAAAGAACTGCTTCCGCTCCGGCCAGCTGATCGAAGTCCATTGCAATGTGTCGGACTTTGTGCAGATCAGTCCCAGGGAATGTTACATTGCCCCCGATGGCGGGGAAGTTGAGATTAAAGTTCGCCTGTTGCGTTCGCCTAGGCGTGAGGGTCTCAAGAGGGAGCCGCTTATTATAGTTTCAATGGAGAACGAGCGTATAAACGTGCCAGTTAGTGTTAAGTTTTAGAATTTCCCAGTTTTTTGTATATCTTAATTGCATTTTCCTTGCCCCCCCCCCCAATGTTCTATTAATGTTAATTTGTTCGAAAAGAAAACTGCTTTGTGTTATGCCCATATTTTGAATAAAAGCTGTTCAGCTACGTTGTAATAAAAATGTATTTATTTAATTGTTAAATACTCTTAAACATGGCGCCAATTAATTATTTTGCATGGTGTGGATGTACAGACCATCCTTCTCTTCGTCACACACCTTGCATCGTTAACCGATAAGTTATAAATCGGAGGCACCTTGTTCTGCTATCCCACCGTGTAAAGCGTATGTTTCCATTAGATATAGCATATAGATTGATGATCTGCACCAAAATCTGGATCGTTTTCAGCCTAAAAATTAATCAAACTCATATTAACAATCAGAAAACAAATTAATATTTATTGTGATAGTTATCGATAGGTCGATATATATGCAACAGCTCGCCAAGCTGAAAAATAACAATAAAATGTTAACGTGATTTTATTAATTTGTGTCTTTAACATCAACAATTGCCGAACTCAATTAAAGCCACGACTTTAAGGGTTAAAGGTATCAACAAAAGCAGCCCGGCGAGCAGTAGCAGCAGCAGAAGAAGCAGAAAGAGGAAGAAAAAAGTGCATAAAAAGTGCATCTGCATTATAATGGACGCCGACAGCAGTGGAGCGTCCCACCGAGGTCCGTATATAGGAGAAGTGTAATCGAAATCCAATCAAGTGCATAGCAATTTTTTTCTTTTTGTTGTTTTTGTTATAGTGGCATACAAAGTGAAAAGTGCAATGGAAGAAAATGTACACTGGAAAGGACACGAGCACACCATCCAAAAAGTCTGGAACAATTGGACATCCCCATGCGAATCATTGGACTTCAGATCTGTTCCCAAGCCTCTGCTCAACGCTCTCTAATGATTTAAGAATTATTTTCCCATGTAGATTCGCATGGATCAAGGACCCGAAGAGACCGGCATGGACGAGACAGTGGACGAGAACGCGACCGCGTGCGCGATCAGGAGGCGGTGCCCTACTTTGCTGATCCCGTGCGTGAGCGGGATCGTGTGAAGAATCTGCGTCAGAAATCCCCGCGTCCGACTGCTAAACGGGTGCGCCGCACCAGGTCGAGATCGAACTCCTCTGAGCGAAGGCGACACCATCGCCGTCGCTCCCGTAGTCGAAGTGGCGAGCATCGACGCCGGACCCGGAGTCCGCGGCGACGCACGCCACCACCGCGGATTATAACAGTTCCTGTGCCAGTGCCAGCACATGAGTTCGCATATGGATACGTAAGTGCCAATCCCAGGTTACAATTAATTTAATTAATTTGCTCTCTAATTTGTTGTGTATTTTCAGGGCTGGCCGGCACCTCATCCAGCGCATCAGTTTAATGGGATTTATGGTCCAATGGCATATCCACCGCGTCCACGATTTGGGTACAGACCAATGCGACCTGCGTTTCAGGCACCCCCATATTCCAGGCCTTATGGACACCAGCCATATCGTTATCGTCATCCATTCAATCCGCAATCTCGTTTTAGTTATAGAAACTCGTGGCAACACCCAAATTAAAGACACATTAAAGACACCCTTCGAGACTTTCGACATAATTAAAAGTTTATTTACAATCGTGTGTGTTTGTGTGTGGTTTGTACATTAAAATAATAAATATATTTGTGTATATTTGATACTTAAAAGAGGACAATATGAGAACATGAAAATATTGCAAATACATAGAGAGGGTTGATTAAATCAGGGGCGACATTAGCAACAAATAGGAGGGGAGGGAAGGGGGTAAACACACGATAAAGGATACAAATAAAGGAGTACTTACGCCTAGGAGGTGGTGGTGGTGGGGGAGAAGGGAATAACTATTAGACTACGACTTTATATACATGCACATTTACACATACATACATAGATGTGGGATACGGAAAGGGGACGGGGGAGGGTCTAACACTATGCTTGGGGTAGGTACTCTCCTAATTACGATATTTACGCTTTGTCAATAAATTATAAAAATAGATCATTTGTTGTAGCATTATACTAGAAACAGCAGAGGCCCATCGTCGCAGTTGTTAGAGATCAACTCGGGGTCGAAACTGCAGGCGGAGCGGAGGATCCCTGAAACGCCATCGTGTGACATAGACAAACTTGAGCGTATGATCTTTGCCCAGCAGCTCCTCGTTGCACAAAATGTCAATCTTTAATAGGGAGAGAGAGAGATTTGATGGGTTAAGCAGTTGTAGAAGTGTGGAAGCTCGAACGAAATATAATTAATGTGGAGGGGAGCACTTACTTCACGATACTTTTCAATCCCATTGAGGATTTTCTTGGCGACCAGCTTTTTGAGATGCGTTATCGTCGCCTGGGAGCTACAGCGTATGAAGCGCCTTTGCAGATTCTTAAAGTTATTGCTTATACACTCTAGGCACACGTTGACCTGCTCGTCCAGACGATGGAAGTCGGATTCGGCATGCGCCTCCATGACCTTCTCATTGTCATCTTCATGGTTTTGCGTGATGTCTTTCGGGCAAGGCATGTTCCTACTTTTGTAAAAGTCTCGCTCCCTGCGCGATTCATCTGGAAAATTGAGAATTAAAACAATTACTAATTGGTTGCCATTCGTCGTCAAATCAAAGCAAAATCCAAATCAAACCTTCTTGCAGTTTCGGCACCAGTTTGTACACAATGTCCTGCATGGTGCGATCGAAACTGATGTATTGCAGGGGATGAGATTGGTGTATGATGTTATCGCAGGTGGGGCAGGTTTTCTTTTCCTCAAGGTGCTTCACCAGGCAGCTCTTGCAAACTGAAAAGTTGCAAAAAATCGAAATTTAATTCATTGCTCCTCTGGTTGTCTGTTTTCTGGAGGCTTGAGTTGAGCCGGCTTGGTGGGGCGGGGCAGGTGTTGCCACCGGGCAGGCCTCGGCACGGCACGGCTCCAACGAACGTCAGTAAAACTCACATGTGTGCAGACACTCCGTCACAGTTGTGGCATCAATGAAATATCCGCCGCAGATCTTGCACGTGATGTGCGGGTTAATTGTCTTCAGCTTCACGCGCCGCTCCATGGTGGATAATTGAATTTGTTGTTTGACTTTTATTTAATTTATTGTAGTGTAGAGTTGGTTCTTTGGAGTGCCGTGCTCTCCCACTCTCTTCCCTCGATTACCAGGTGCAGAGAACAATGGCCCGCGCTGGCCTCCTTTTAGGGAAAAGGCTCGCAAACATTAACACAAGCACTCAACATGTTGGCCAACGGTTTAAGACCCTTTTTTGTTTAGTTTTTAGCAATAATTTTAAACAAATAAAAGAAATCACGACTAAATTGTGTGTACGTGTGAGTCAGGGATGGGCGATAGTTGCGTACCTGTTACTTGAAAGTATTTTCAAATCACCATTCGCAGCTGTGACACGGCCATCACATTCGCCAAACATGTGCATATGTCTATATAATAATAAGCAAAAACCCATAAGAAGTTGTTGCTGTTATCAAAAAGTATTAATTAAAATTATATTAAAAAAGATAATAAATTCTTTAATACAAAAATAATGGTGTTGAGATATATTTACTGTCGCTATATTTATCACATTAATCACGACTTTCCCCAGTCACAGATATCGGCAAGTCTCTAGATATCGCCTTTCAAAGTGTGAGTGCAGATGTCAAATGTCATTTCAAATGTCAAGAACATTGGAGTATTTCAAACACTGCACTCTGGTGACTTGCAGCACTGCTGCACAGCTGTTTTTGTTTTATTGTTTGGCTTCGGCGTAGTTTTTTAATTTGCTGATAAAAGTGTCGACCAAATGGCTCTCGTAGATCATGACTTATGGGACATCGAGTACGAGGGCTGCGAGAGACTGCGCCATCAGTTGCTGGTCCAACTGCATCAGCGCCAGCAACTGGGTCAGCCCAAGGCGAAGGAGTACATCCAGCTCACAGACAGCATCAAAGCGGGGCTGGATCAGTTGGACAAAGATGTCAAGCATCTAAAGGTAGTACTAGACAATGCCATCACCTGGGAGACCAGTCCCGAGGAGGAGCTGCAGCAGCGGCGCATTGATTGGGACAAACTCACCTCGCAGCTGCGCGAGGTTAAGCAGAAATTTACGAACAGCTCGCGGGCCAATGTGCTGGCCGCTTCCTCAGGCTCCGCCTGGCAGGAGCAGGGCCAGCCGACCGCTCCCCGAGAAACACCCATCGATGTGGAGGCCCTGAAGCTGAGGCAGGCCGAGATGCTGGAAGATCAGAATCGTGGTCTCGAAGTGCTCTCGGCCACGATTTCCCGACAGCGAAACCTGGCCACCCAGCTGGGCAACGAAGTGGAGGATCAGAACAGTGAGCGCTAATTAATGGCCACTAATCAATGCTCCTAACCAGTGACTATTTCCAGATATTCTCGATAACCTGGCCAATGCAATGGATCGCGTAGAGACGGGAGTGCAACGGGAGACGCACAGCATTGGGCAAGTAAATCGGAGGGACAGCACCTGGGGCTACTGGCTGCTCATCATTGCTCTATTTGTGGCCATTCTGGTGGTGGTGCTTGTGTAGTTTCCCCTTGTTAAACGTATTCCATATTCTATGTTATATTATATCGAGTTTTATGCATGTTTCGAGCGAATGTCCCTCTCCAAAGATCCTAGATCCCTTCGGCGTGCATCTGGCATTCCTGCAAGTGTATTTATATGAAAATTAAACTAATGCTTTTAAGAGAAAGATTGCAGCGTTTGTCGCGGATCGTTGATGACTGGACAACAGGTTTATTTAGTCGTTACATTTACGGATAACAAGGGAGTTCTTATTTTTCTTTTTGTTGATCTACTTAAGCCAAATCTGAAGCGTAGGGCACGTTCGCCAGGTTGCCAATGGCACCGACCGACAGCTTTGAGCCGGCCACCTTCTTGGCAGCCTCCTGGACCTGCTGCTGTGAAATGCCATCGATGGCAGCAATCAAAGTGTCAGCCTCCAAGACGTTTCTGCTGAGCGCCGCCTGGCGTCCGATCTCCTTGATCAGACCACCATCGGAGGAATACTTCGAGATGATGCGGGCCTTCAGCAGGGCCTTGCCACGGGCCACATCCTTTTCCGAGACCGAGCCAGACTTCAGGCCGCGAACCAGGAACTCGACGGTCTTGCCAATGTCCTTGGCATCGCCGGACACAACGAATCCAAAGAGACCGGCATCGGAATAGCTGGCATTCAGAGCACGGACGGTGCTGGGCCTTGAGCCGCCAGCGCTGTTGGCAGCCTCGCCAAACAGTCCCGAAGAGTTTCCGCGCTTGGTGGCCGCACCAGCGCCCACAGCCTGCTCCAGGACGGCAAAGGCTAGAGCCTCCTTGTGGTTGGCAATGGAGCCGCCCAGGCCAGCAACTGCGACAGTGGCACGCTGTCCTGTGGTGTCCTTGCGTGCATCGCCGCCAAAGTAGTTGGCAGAGGCAGCCTTTCCACCGCCGCTCGGGAACTCCAGGGTCTGGGCGAAGCCCGACAGAGTGTTGTTGTCAATGCCCACGCCAACAACGGCGGCGCGACTGGCCGAAAAGGTGTTGGCTACGTAGTGCAGCAGGCTTTCAGTTGACAGATTGCCCAACTGGAACCTGGGGATGTAGATGGAGTTGCCCAGACCGGAACGGAAGGCGGCCTTGTGGACCAGCTCAATGGCGCGTTGCTGCACAAAAATAAAGGTTTTAGGAATTTTTACAGGCTACAGGCTACAGTTGAGAATTGCCTACCTCTCGGGTGACAGCATCCAGCTGGTTGTGCAGAGTCTTGGCATTGTCCTTCAGTTCCCAGGGCTTGAAGGCTGGCTGCAACAGATCCTGCAGGTAGCGCAGACCGGTCTCCACATTGTCGGCAGTGGTCTCCACGGTGTAGCCGACGACCTCGCGATCGCCCCAGGTGGTCAAGGTGCCGCCGACCTGCTGAATGTTACGGGCAATGGCGAACGCAGACGAGTTCTGGGTGCTCAGTCCTCCGGCCAAGCGGAGCAGATGGGAGGCTCCCAGGGTATCGTAGGCCTCGTTGCGGGAACCAGCTCTGCAAGATGTCAGATTAATGATGATCCAGGAACAGTGGGCAGTCACTTACCCCAGCACAACGGACACGCGCGAGACGGGAACGGTGGCATCAGCTGTGGCCACAACCAGTTTGTTCTCGAGAACATTCACACTGACGGCGGAGGTGTCGCCCACGGGGCGTGGGCAGGTGGCATAGCCCCGTTTCTGACGAAAGACAGGATAACAGTGTCATTAGTCCTCTCATAATTAAGACAGTTTAAACAGCAACTATATCTTTTACGTAACACGACTTTCCACAGGGGAAATTATTCTGCAGTGATTTTGTTGGTTAAGTTGAAACTTACAGCGATAGCGCGCAAGAGGTGCGTCTTACTTGCGTTGCAGGCCATGGCGTTAATTAATTTACTAACTTTTTCGGATGCTTTCTAAGCAGTTTTTTGTTATAAATAATCGCAGAGCGAAAATTTTTACTCCGCTGTCGTTCGCTCCGCTGTGAAGATCTAGTTCTCCGCTCGCGCTATCGACAATCAAAACAATCGAACTGGCTCATTTCGGAACTAAGCCACGCATAGATTAAATGTTACTTTATTGATGCATTTTTTAAAATATTACAACTTTTTTAGGTCCCTTAAACTATCATCTCCAGATCCCGGGCATAGCTGAGCACCTGCTCAGCCAGCTCCTCGGAGGGCAGGGCCTCTTTTGGCTTTATGCTGCGGTCTGTGAAGCTATAGTTTCCATTGCCCTCCAGTTTCCACTGGCGTTTTTCGCCAAACACTTTGATCTCATCCGGAACACGCAGATTCAGTCGCTTGGCTGCGTCCTTGGCGGATATCTTCTCGTACGACTTTTCAATGCAGGCGCCAATTTCGTCGCGCACCGTCTCCACCAGAAGGTCCATGAAGTAGTTGTAGACTTCAGCGGGCATCGAGGACTTGGCCTGGAAAATCTTATTGTACCTGCCCTCCATAATGTACTGCTCGAGGGCCAGGATGGGTCGAATGTACTGGTTGTGCTGAATGATGTCCACCGACAGCAGCTCGAGCTCGGTGTGGAAATCGGAGACCCGATTGCCGGACAGCAGGTACAGCAAGTTGAGCCCCAATAGTTTGTACTTGTTGTCCGATTCGCCAATGATCTTGGCATAGTCGTAGTAGTAGCACTTCAGCTGCGACATGTAGCGCTCAAAGGCCTGCAGATCCTTGCTCAACACGCTGTGTTCCACGGCGATTTCCAGCACGCAGCGAGCCAACAGCAGTTGCTTCTTCGAGTTCTGGGCATCGTTGCCGTCTGTCGGTAGGAAGGCCATCTTGACTAGGGCTATTTTCAGTTGGTCCAGCAGCTGGCCGCATTTCTTGGTGTTGGGCGGACGCTTGGACCACTCGGCGGTCAGTTCCTTGTATAGTGTTTCCACCGAAGCCATTTTTAACTATTGCTTTACTTTGTTTGCAAAAACTACGGAGAATGAGTTTCGTTTTTGGTGGACTCTAGAGATGCTTTTCGGGAGTATTGAATCGATTGTACACACCTATCGATGACTGGTCATCGATGATTGGTCAGTGCTGACTAACGCGAGTACACGCCGTCTTATCTTCGGATCCATCGAAACTATTTGCATCCAGAAACAATTAAACCAAACAAAAAATGTGTGATGACGCCAATGACGCCGCTTGGGACGACTCTCTGTTGATCAAAGTCTACGACGAATCCGTTAATTTGGCACGCGAGGCCTTGGCCCGGCGCTTGGCAGACTCCACCAATACGCGCGAGGAGGAGAACAAGAAGGAGGAATTTAACATTGAATCGGCCACTGATGCCACCAGCCCCGAGCCTGTTTTCTTCAAGGTGGGAGACTTCGCGCGGGCCACATACACTGATGGTGTGGACTATGAGGGTACCGTGGTTTCCATCAATGAGGAGGCAGCTACGTGTGTGATCCGCTACCTGGGCTATGAAAACGAGCAGGAGGTCTTGCTAGCCGATCTGCTGCAATCTTGGGGCAAGGACGCCCGTCGCCAGCAGTCCATAATGGCCTACCAGTACGAGGCCGAGGAAGCGCAACAGGAAAAAGTTCGCGGAAAGCCTGCCAGTGCCTCAAAGAAGTCGTCGGACAAGGCAAAACCTGCTGCCAGCGCTGGTCTCTCTGGAGGACCGGGCATGCCCACTATGCCATTGATTCCTCCCATAATCCCCCCCTGTGGAAATCCAGGCGAGGAGCAGGACCTTATGTCCATGCTCACTGCATGGTATATGTCTGGCTATTATACGGGCTACTTCCAGGGGAAGAAGGCCATTCCACGACAGGTGGAAAAGAAAAAGACTCCCAAGAAGTAACTTGAAACTTGTAAATTGTAAGACTTGTATCCATTAAGAAGCCAACAGAAAATAAAGATCTTAAAGTGAATTCTTAAAGTCTCAGAAACTTGAGACAACCCCAATTCGGAAACTCAGCACAAATTCTGAAACTTGTCAGTGTTGGGTAACCGGTCGAAGTCGGGCTTGCATTTTACTCTCTACCTGATAAGTGCAAGCGATGGATCCGCGCCGTAAGATATTTGAACAATTCAAAAATAAAACGTCTATTATTTCCTGGCCATAGTCCACAGATACGTCTTAAACTTTTCGGATGGGTCGCAGCCAATCCAGGTTGACTATCCCGACACCAGGGTGTTTAGAAACTGCTCAAGCTATGGCGATCGTGTGCCGGGCCTTAGCTGGAATGAGTTTTGCATTCATCATCAGGGACAACTGGAGTATTTGCACGATCCAAAGCAAGTGATACTCGAAGCCATCTTCGATGCGATCGACGGCGAGGAGCTCTATCCGGTCGCCTATGAGGTTGGCCCACCATTGACAAATGTCCGTCCTTTAGCTAATAACTGTTATTTTTTCAGCGTGGTTCTCGAGTCGACAAGTTTCTGGCGCGTGCCTGCAAGCCGGCGATTGACAAGCTATTTGCCCAGAAGCTCTGCCTAAGCATCTCAACCGGCGCCAGTATACAGATAAGCGTGCAGCTCGGTGTGGCCGCCAATAGCAGCAAGCAGATCTCGCCTGCGCTGCTCATATCTCAGGAGGTTTCGCGCCTAATGGAGCGTCTGGAGGTGCACAACGGCGTGCGCGGCGTGTTGAACCTAAGCAATTTCGGGGCGAATCCCTGCTTCAAGAGCATCGTAGTTAGTCTGGCCAATGTGGCCACCCTGAGGCACGTCTGCAGCAGCATCTATCACAACGATGACAGCTTTAGCTCGGTGAATGGCTTCATTTTCGCTGACAATCAAATGAAGAGCGTGGATCCGCTCAAGCTCTTTGGCGATGTCGAATATGGACTCCTCGATCTCAGTGGAAATAAGGTATATGCCAGCCAGGTGTTAGGTCAAACCAAGAACTACTATGAGAACATTTTCAGATTGCTTCTGCGGTTCGTCTGTGCCGCGAGCTGAAGCGTATTCGTGCAAAGGAACTGAAGCTGGCCAACAACCCCATCACGAAGAGTTCCAGATATCCCAACAGCATCAAAGCGCTGCAAGGGAACTTCAGTATGGTGGATGGCATTCCCTACGACAAGCTCCACACCACCTACACGCCCCTGAACCATGACATCGATCTGGAGTCGGATGGCATACGCATTGACTGGACCAATAAGTGGAAGCTGGCGGACTTTGAGCAAAGCGAAGATTGGCATGCCTTTCTGGTACCCGATCGCATGCACCTGATGACTGAGCAACGACTTTTTAGATTATTCTTCAGTACGGCCAATCAAATGCTGGCTGAGATTTATCCCTGCTACTACAAGGTGAGCTCTCATCTGGGGATCTGCCTGTATAATGATTTCTGATGTGAATCCTTTTGTAGTTTGATGGGAAGGAGCACATTTTTCTGGCGCGCAATTGCTTCGAGCAGATTGAATATTTGGTGCACAGCTGCAATCTGGAGATGAAACTTCCCGATGCGGAGCCAATGGTTGATCCAGATGTGAGAGTGGCTCCTCGCACCATTCCTTTCTATATGCGCATGAATGTCAGTCGCTTTAAGCTGCATCACGTGGATCCCCAGGAGAGGATTACCAAGTGCATACAGAAGTGTTTTGTGGCCCAGAATCGAGTGCTCAAGATGTCGCACTTTCAGGCAACCGAAGGCCTGAAGGGCCTGTGGGTCCACATGGGCTCGACGAGAATTCTAAACAACATCCTGTCGATTATCTCGCGTCTGTACATGTCCAACTGCTCGGAGATTCGTCTGTGCAACAACGGCATTCTCCGAATAGACGGTGCGCGCGTCCTCTCGCGAATGGGCAACCTGAGGGCGCTAGACCTGGGCCACAATTGGATACACGACTTGGAGGACATCAAGTCGCTGGGCGACCTGCCGCTGAAGTCGCTGCGCCTCCATGGCAATCCGCTGTGCGCAAAGTACAGTCTCCCCAATGACTATATCCAGGCAGTGCTGAAAATCTTCCCGCAACTGACGACTCTGGATGGGGTGGATCTGAGCAGCAAGCCGGGCCAGGCGCCGCAGAAAAACTTCCTCTGCGACATTGGGGCTTACGAGATGCTGGGCGACGTATTTCTCCGCAACTATCTGCGCGAGTTCGAGCAGGCGGACGAGCGAGCCAATCATCTGATGAAATATTACACGGACGACTCAATCTTCACGATGACCTGCAACTATGTGATGGGTCGCTCGCAATCGTTCAACGCGCAGCTCTTCAAGCGCATCGCCAAGTACACGAAGCACTCGCGGGACATCAGGAAGTGGTCGGACTACACCAAGGCCACAAACGAATTCCATGTGGGTGTGATGGAAATCATTGGCGTGCTCATGGAGCTGCCGAGTGTCGTCCACGACTTTGTCTCCCTCCAGACGGACGTGATGCACTTCAATGGCAAGTCGGCGGTTATTCACGTCACTGGGCTGTTGCGCGACGACTCTCCATGCACCCACAACCAGGAGGAGCTCTATTTGGCCTTTAGCAGGGACTTTGTACTCAAGATCGATGATCAGGGAAAGGTAAGGACATCTTTTGAGACCAATTTGGGATCATTTCATTGATTCATCTACCATCTGCCATTGTCAGGGCTTTGGCAAGGAGTCGCGCCGCCTACAGATCGTCAATGACCACTTGAGCATCATGAATCCCTCGAGGCACCAGTTGAAGAGCGCGTTCAAGGTGTGCCCACTGCCAGACGTTCGTCTGATGACACCCGCATCCGAGGACTCAATAGACGCCAAGAACGACAAGCTCATAATTTTCCTTGAGTTAACCGGCCTAACATCTCCATGGTGCACAAGGATCGTGGAGACTGCCGAATGGGATTTCGAACTGGCCACCAAATTGTTTCTTGACATGGTGGAAAAAAAAGAGCTTCCCGACTCGGCCTTCCACTAGGCAACAATACTTAATATTAATTGATGTGGAATCCTAATTCATTTGAAAACCCAAAGAGCAAATCAAAGACTAGCAACTACAAATGTTTGTGCCTTCAAACTACCTTAATCGAATACTAATATTACAACTGAACAACCTACCTATCAACCCTCCAGTGAAATCAACCCTTGAAGACTGCTTGATGGCCAAAAAAACATTTATTGTATGATATTTAAGAGTTATTCACTGGCAAAACACGACTCATCCATCATCTCCCACATTAACTACTACACAGAAAAAGAGACATTCATAGCAAATACACATGTATATATATATATAGGTATATAATTGTTTATATATCATCCATATCCTCTCCGTACTGTAACTCTGCTCTGTTTTGGGCTGGCATAAATTCTATGCAAAATAGTCTAGAGTGTTAGTTCGAGAAAGAGAACATCGATAAAATGCCATCGCTTACAGTATTTAAATATTTCGTAGACTAGAAATGTTACCCTAAATACAGATTAAGAATATGTTTTCCTGTATACATAATGTATGTATTACGAGAATTACGAGACAAGACCGACCCGAACCTTCCTTTCCTTTCCTGCTTATACGATACATTCGCTTATACGTTACACAAAAAGTAGGTAAAGTGAAAGTCCGACTAAGCTCTAAGAATTTGCATAATTTCATTTAGTTGTACACACACTTATGTGGATATATGTATAATGGATATTAATCAAGCTGGTGTTTGCTTTTGTTGGATCATGCAAAATGTTCGTTTGAATTGAAAGAAATTTCTGTGTGTTTCCATGTGTTTGCTTTTTAATTTCACAACTTCAATTTTGGTATAACCGAAAGGAAAGGCAATTGCAATTGGCATTGCCATTGCCTGGTTGAAAACTCTCTTTTTACCCTCAAGCCATGAGCGCTTAACAAATAATATCAAATTAGTCTGTTGCGTTTCGCGTTTAGTGTCTCTCTCTCTCTCGGTCTCCTTGTGATTTGTATTTTTAAAAATTACAATATTTAATTTATCAGAAAACAAATTAAAAAAGCATATAGTGCATGCTAATAGTAGGAAAAGACATTGTATGTATGTGTGTGAGTGTGCGAATCGCGGCGATTGATTTGGTTTTTGGCTTCAATCAAAAGAATATTCAAAGTCTATGGCGCTCATAGATAAAGGATTGGAGGATTGGTTGCGCTTGTCTGCCTGTCTGTCTTGGGCTGCGTGGTTTGGTTAACCCGAATTTGATTTGGTGAAGAGCCTCCCGATAAGGCTTCATTTGCGTCTTCTGCTCACGGTGCTCCAGCCAGGCTCCTGGTGTTGCTGGTGCTGCAGCTGCTGCTGTTGGTGTTGTTGTTGCTGCGACTGCTGCTGTCTGGCGTTGGAATTGTTGCGTGTTGAGGTGTTCGATGGTGGAGCGCCACAAGCAGAGGACGCTGCAGCGTCGTCTCACTTTTTACCGGGAGGCGCTATTGGTTGGCCACGCTCCTTGCCGCGCAGCTTGATGCCAAGCACCCGCTCCATTTTTCCGAGTATCAAGTTGTTAGGAATGCCGCGTCCGGCCTCGTAGTCAGTTATAACCTGCTGCTTCTCACAAATTTTCTGCCAACCGAAAGGAGAAGGAATCAAATTTTGAATGAGTTCTTGGGCTGAGGAGAGAGCAAGAGATTGAGAACGTACAGTGGCCAAGTCCTTCTGGCTGAGACCCTTGTTCTGACGTCCCTGTTGGATGATCTTGCCCACGTCAAGCGGTATCTTGTCGTGGCGCAACTCCTCAGTCTCGCGGTCCAGCTTGGCAGTGTTCTTGGTGGTCACATGCTGCTTGTTGGTGCCAGCACCATCTGTGGATTGGATGACAAAATCAATAGCAGATATAGATCGGAACCGTGGGCGAGTGTTGATGGTTGAGTGGAAACTAGGCCAAGCAGAAAATAGCCCCCCAATGCAGATTACTGCGCCTTGTGAAATGCGGTGGGGCGCCAGTAATGCCACGCAACACATCATCACCGCAATTGCAGCAGGAGGTTTTGTTGTTGTGATTAGGTTAGGCCGAGCGTCAAGTACATGTGTGTTTGACTGTGTGCAAAGGGGTTTTTGGGGCCAACCGGGGGCCGGTGATTCCCGGCCCTACTCACATTTTTGTTGGGTGTCCACGGCAACACCTTGGCGGCGAGCCTGATTGACCGCCGACTCAGTTTTTAGGGTAGACGACTTGGGAGCCTTCTTCCGCAGAACTGTAACAGAATCCCAGTCTGACATCTTTGATTTCGTATGGTTTTTTTTATGGCCAGGCACGAGACGTGTTTAGAGAGAGAATGGTACAACAATTATGAATGAATGTTGCTCGACTCTAGTTGCACGCTTTGACAGGACTTACATTGACTGCTTCACTTATGTTTTACTTTCTTTTATTATTAATTAAAACTATAAATTCCAGAACTATCTGAATTTGTAGGTTTATGTGTCAGTGTGACCGCGGAATTATACCGATAGACCCTCGGAAATATACCGAGATATACCCTTGAATTTTCAATATATACTGTATATATACGGTAAATCTTAAGTAATATTCCACGATTTGGATGTTCTATTAGATATTATTAGCTAGTTAGAAGTCTCCACGCTAACTATTTTTACATCCGATATATCAATCAATTCTTTAGCAGAAAACGTTACGTGATCTCCCATGTTGTGAGAGAGAAATATGCCTTCAAAAGAGGGGGACAATTACCCACGGAAAAGAGAGAGACTCCTCGAGGGTCATTTCCTATATCTCTATCCCATATTATATACCCTAAACCCTATTTATTACAGAATAGATCTCAAGAAGGGAACTTAATATGAACCCAAATTCGGAGTCAAAATATCCATATAATATACCAGGTATACCTGGTATGTGTGTAGTGTGACTGACCATCGGAAATATACTGGAATATGCCAAAATTGAGAAAATATATTAGTGAGTGAACCAGTTTAACCCGCTGAACCGCCCTCTACTTAAACAGGTGAACAAGCTGGATAAAACCACGTTATATATTAAATTTTTTTAAATTGATCTTGTAAATTGGATGGATTTTACTTTAAAAAGAGAGGGAGGATATATTTTATCTGAACTTCGCTTCATTTGTTCAAGTTCATTTCAAGTGTTCAAGTCTGGTCGACAATCGGTTAACCCATGCAAACTGTGCAGCCAACGGTAAAATGCTGATAAAAGCTAAACAAATTACGTATTAAATGTCTAGAAAATCACTGAAGTGAATCAATAAGTGCAGGTGTACGTATTGGCGTCGCACGGGACGTACTTTTGAACATGTTGAACACAAAAACGGCACCGAGGACGTCACAAGAAGATTGTTGACGTGATTTATAATGGATCGAAGCTACTTGAGTGGCCGAGAATTCAAAGAAATGACAAAACTCAAGTACTAGCAGGACGGGCCCGGGACTTCACTGTGGTCAGTTTTTCTCCTATCACGGCGATTTGGCAAACAGTCCCAAAACAAGATTACCCCTCGCTATCTAGGATGCAGCCTTTGCGTAAGTACGTATCTACTCGAGATCTATACTATGTGTGTGGAGGGAGGCATGTTCCACTATATTTTGAGGAGGCTGATTAGTTGCAATCAGTTAAACGATTAAACTTGAACGTCTGCCATTGCTCGTTCTATTGTTTGTCTTATCAAAGTGTTCCACTTATACACGTGTACAAATGTAAGTTACACTAACTGTACATCTGCTCTACATGCATTGCTACAGAACACCCAGATTATCATTTCCAGCCTCTCTCTCTCCCTCCCACGCCTCTCTCTCACCTTTGGCTTTACCTGACTTCCCACGCTTACCCACACTGCGTTATATGCAGGTAGGTAAGGCAGCCTCTCGCTCTTGTCCGTTTTTATAAGAATTCCGTAGTTACAGTTGAGTGGCATACCATTTCCATACCCTTCAATGGATATACCTTGGTTCTCACACTACATCGATAGACGATGGACAACATAAGGCTGCCGATTTCGTCGCGGGCTTTATTTCCATTTTGAACGGGTTCGCGTGCGGTTTAGTTATTTGTACGTTAAATTGTGGCAAACGAATCGGCCAACTTAACAAATTCTACAGTCAAAACAGTGCGCATCAACTAGGTGTGTGCCAAATCTATATAATTGTTGTGTGTTTGTGTTTGTGTCGATAAAGAAATTGAGTTACATTTCACATAAAATTCGAATAATGAATACAATTTACGAAGCATTAACTGTCTGCCATTTGAATGAGATTCCCCATTAACATCCGCAACAAGCAAGCCATAAATAAAGCGCTCAAATTGTTGGAATAGTTTTTGGCGTTTAATTGAACCATTACAGAACTATTAGAAATGAGGCAGATAGCTGCGCTCCCGCTCTCTGTGGGACAGATGTTCTCTCGCCTGTCAGCTGTACCTGCACCTGCAGCATAGACGCCGTCCAAGCCAATTTTGTGTTTATTTTCGAACGATCGCAGCGTTAGAAACTGACTTGAGTGGGAAACCTGTTCGGTTCGGCAATCATTAGCTATTGTCAGCTTATATAAGTCCTACAGTATGAGTATTTTTCGTGACTTTGTGATGAGCTTAACAAAATGCTTACCCTAATATGAGTAGGGCTCGCGGGCTGCCCTCGCAGGTGTTTTGTCTTCATTTTGCATATGAATGAAAAATTCTGGAAACATGAGTGGTGCGGTGTGCGGTGTGCGGTGTGGTGGCAACATTAATCAGCTTTTGGTAACAAATTTGTTTTCTTGTCTTGTGTTTTTTTTTCCGTTTGGTTCTTTATGTTCCTTTCGGGTTTCCATTTCCACGCAGCGTGGGATTTTAATTTTTGTGTGTTTATGCCTAAAAAGAAAGTTGGAAACAGCCACAGGAGGAGGAGAAGGAGGAGCAAGAGGTTGGATGATCTAATCTGAGATCTCAGTTATCTGTTTTCTGCTAGAAATGTCTGTGAATTCGCGTTTTTGTTGAGTTAGCAATCAAATTAGCAGCTGGGCAGACAGTTGCTTCGAGCCAGTCCCCACTCTTGACGGACTCTGACTCGAAAAACGAGGCTAGGGCCCCGGAGCTGCTGCGTTTTGCACGCGCTTCAAAAACGCAACCCAAAAAACAATCAAAATAATTAGCCGGACAGCGGACACAATTAATCTAAGCTCGTGGCATTACATGAAAAGCGGCACAAAGAGAAGCAAATTACACATACAAATAGTTGACACAAGTGTCCTCGTCCTCCTACATCTTGGAGGAGCTGCTCCCTTGGAGGATTCCCAGATTTACGATTAGGCCACGCGACGACGTAGGGGCAGGGCTCGGCACGCTAGGCACATTAAATATTTAATTTATTTGTATGCCCTTGCCGCTGAGGGTTGTACGATTGTGACTAGAATGTTGGCACAGACACGCAGGGACAGCAGATGCAGATTAGCTGCCAGCTCCCCCCCATAAAGATCTCAATCAAACGACTTCAACTTTGGCCTATAGAAGTCGTGAGTGCTCAGATCGGGATCACAATATCAGACAACTTTCCAGGGTGTTAAAGGGTATCAAATATTCGTTTACATTTCCCCCCTACTTTCCACTAAATGTGTGTACAAATATTTTGTGTTACAACCGATTCTGGAATTCTCCTGCGGTTTGGCTTGTTGACGGCTTCTCGGTCTCTGGTCGACGACACTATTTGCCCTGGCGGCTACCTGGTGGTGGGGTGGGGAGGTTGTCTAGGCCCAGCCCTAAGTGGGCCAACTACCTCCGAAAAGCAAATGTTTGAGAACAACAAAGAGTGACAGAGAGAGAGAGAGAGAGAGAGAGGGAACCAAACCGGTTATAGACACAAAAACGTCAATTCGATTCTTCTCTGCTTTGCTCTCTCATTCTCAGACTCCTCTCCCTCTCTCTCTCTCTCTCTCTCTCTGTCTCTCGCTCGCTGTGACGCGATCTCTTGCGCGTTTCCCCCCACCAACACTTGTGGGTTTCCGCGCACTCGCTTCAAATAAATTGCAGCATTTGTCAAAAAGTTGCTCCCTCTTGACTTGGTGCCAAAAGCATTTCGGCATTCATTTCCCCCCTGCCGCTGCTCACTTAACCTTAACCGCGGAAAAGCAGAAAATATAAAATACAAAAAAGACTTTCCTTTCATTTCAAACAGAAATAGTTGCGTTTTCGGGCCGGGCCCGAGGCACTTTCGTTGATTTTTAATGGGAATTAGTTAATATATCATTAGAGGCGAAGAGCGGTTCTATTTTTGGTCAGACAGATTCCGCCTGCCAAAAACTCGCAACAAAATATTTGGAAAACTCTTACAAAATTCCAAGATGGGGAAATATCTGCGTGTGCCTCTGCCCCTACCCTAGCCACACTTGCCTCGTCCCTGAGGTCAAGCCAGGCGGCATAATTCAGACAATTTTCCAACAAACAGAGCAAGACCAAGACTCTGGTCGGGCAGCCCAGACAGATCTCAGATCTGATGTAATGGGGAGAAGGTCGCCACGGGCATGGGCCCCCAAGTAATAAATTAAACACTTTACGCGTTGTTCTCTGTGTTCTCTGTGTTCTCTGTTTCCCATTAGACATTCTCTGGGGAGTACCCTGGAGGGATTAGGAGGAAGAGAGAGACACCGGGAACGCTGGTTGAATATTAAGATTCCAGATTCTTGTCCTTGTCCCTAGAATATTTTATGCTCGAAATGAATGCATGTTCCGGTCGATCCGCCACTTCCAGGCACGGTTTAATGGCCATTCATATAGGGAATATATTCATGATAAAGACTGTATGTATGTGCCGTTTTCCGTGGACGTGTTGGGGATTTTTAAGTGAATTGCGCTTGGAGCATCGTTACGATAATTGGTGGTGGACTCGACTCGCGGCACTCTCGACACTCATGGCAGTCGCAGCAGCACAGATCCGAGTACAAATACGAAGAATATTTGCTAATTAATATGCAAACTGCACACGGCAGCTTTGTGCTTTGATTTTCCTCCGTTGGATAGTTTGGAAATTGCGCGACAATTTTCACAGCAGCACGCGAAACGCTCTGACGTTGGCCACAAATTGAATCGCAAGCGTCCGCTGCTCCACATCCACATCCATCCAGCTGATGCTGGACTGGAGCATCAGCATTGCTTCATTTCGATCAGAATTATATCACTTTCACCGCGGGGAAAGTTCAACGATCTTTTGATCAATCAATCTGCTGGAGGGGATCTGGATGTGGGTCGCAATCAATTGGTAAAATGATGAATCTGATTTCATTTGGGCACTCGACTAATGGCAATGACTTTTGCTGTGTCTGTTCTGGCAGTGGGCATTCTGCTTTTGATTTATGTTACGCTCTAAATAGCCCAGCGAAAACCATAACCACAACCAGCCGGGGCATTGGCCAAATATCACGCACGCTCCTACACAAATAGTATCATAAATATTATTGAGAGATTAAATTGGTTTCAAATGTTTGTGGGATATCTTGGGTCTCCTCGGGAGGAGGCGGTTGGAATTGGAATTTTAATTTCGCATTGAGAAAACACCACAGAGAAAACGAACAGACACAAAGGCAAGGCATTCAATTGATCAGGGGAGTGGGTGCACAAAAAGTGCATCCAATGGAGGGGCGCGAGGTCGAGTCATGCAATTGTTTGCACTTGAAATTCAAAGATGCAAAAGATCCAAAGATGGAAATGGATGAGCAAACTCGATGTGTGCTCTGCCGCTCCTCAATGACAGCAAAGATCGCTTGGTGGAGGGGGCATTTAATTATAAATTCCCAGGCTAATTGCAGCTGTCAATGCAATGCCCCAATGACGTCACTTTGCGGCAGGGCAGCAGCTTCTCCTCTCGTGGGGCATGGGGCAACAGGTTGCAGCACAGTCTAGTGTAATTGTGAGTAATTTTTTGTTGGGGGGAAAGGCAATGGCAATCGATCGAGGATGATGCAAACAAAACACGATCCAAACTAAACACAAAACAGAGAGCACTGCCACGATGTGGCAGCAGCACACAGAATTTGTTTCGTTCTATTTCTGGTTTTTGTGTTTCGGCTACAATTTATTTGTTTTCATTCTATTTTCTTTTTGTTTTGTGTGTGTCTGTGTGGCTGTTTTGACTGGCAGTCAGACTGGATTTATTTATTTTGCAAGCTGGCTTCGGGCTTTCTACCAAATGCATTTTTCAAATTAAAAGCCAGCAGCAGAGGCAAAAGCGGAAAAATAAAACCAATTCATTGTAATTCGATTTGATAGTTGAAACAACATTCCAAGAACATTCTCTAATATGAGTTTAGGCACGAAATTCAGCTGAAATTCAATAAACCTTTTTGTTTTACTCACTGTTTTTTGTGTACACATTTTATACACAATTTGATTTGATTTCGCAGGCGATTGAATGGCGGGGCAATAATTGTGGCAAGCGAGACAGAGCCCAAAGAGCGATCAAGTGCGATGGGGAACTACTTAATGGATACTAGAGAGTGCCATAGAAGATGATTCAGAGAGAGAGAGATCTCAGGGAAGTGCATAGAACGAAGACCCTGCGAATGTCGCTTTCAAATGTTCTATAATCTTTCGCTTATCTTTCCTTGCTCTTGCCTGATCGATCGATCAATCGATGGGGGTGTCTGGGGTGAAGTTCGAGTTAGAATCGGCTCAAGTTACACTCAAATTACATTCGTGTCAGTGTCGCTTAATGAGCAGCCTATTGTCACACAGCCACACATCAGACCCTGTGGCTGGCCCGAACCCTTCTTGTTTGATTAATCAATGCTGGGGATGTGGATGCGGGCATCGGTCCCATGCCAGCGCCCATCGGCCATCGCCCATCGGCCATCGCCCATCGGCCATCGCCCATCGGCATGCCATGATGCTTTGATGCTAAATTGAAACATTACAAACAACTTTTATGAGCCATGCCCCTGCCCCTGCCCCTGCCCCTCTGCACTGACCTAATTGAGGTGATTGGCGGGGGGAGAAGGGGCTATGACGTTGGCTTCAAGGTGCCATTTTGCCACGTGGAGGAACTGCAGCGATTTGTCAGAAAAGGAGCGAATCATTAGCCTAATTTTTAGGGCATAGAGTTGAGGTGCCATTTATGTGTGTGTTGTGTGTGTGTGTGTGGGTGCGTGTGTGCTGGCATTTCCTTTGACTGACTGAATTTCCATTCGGTGCTTCGATTCTGTGGCCAGGCAGGCCCCTCCTTGATAGTCGTCTTGCCAGACGCCAGCGAAGCAATTTAAATGCCACACCTATCCTGTGGGGTGTGGGTTGTCGGGGGTTATGGCATTCCTACACACACACACACACACACACACACACACACTCACACATATGACACTCGTCCTGTTCCCTGTCCATTAGGGCTGGGCGACAGTTCAAGGATGTGCACAACCCTTTGGCTCAACTCTCTGTCTGACTCTCTCTCTCTAGGGACAACCACAAAATGCGTTTGCTGCTGCTGCTGCTGGTGCCACTGGTGGCACCTTACCTCCAGGTGGATGGACAGGAGGACTATTGCTTTGGCAAGGACTCGGACAGGCCGCAGACGGCGCAGTTTTCCTCGAAGACAGCCTACCAGATCGTGAAGAGCAGCAACATTGACAAGCAGTACCTGGTGCCCGGCTGCGAGGCCAAGAAGATGTGGATCTTCCACAGGCACGGCACCAGGCTGCCCAAGTCGGGCACCATCAAGAAGGCCTCGCGGCTGATGGAGGTGAGCGGAGGATACTCCACACAGTTTGTTTGCCGCAGCTTAATCTTTCCTCTCTACGCAGCTACGTGACCAAATTGTGAAGAACTATCGAGAGGCAAAGACCAAGCCGGAGACGAATGCTCTGTGCACCGAGGATCTGATTGCCATTCAGCTGTGGAAGGGCAACAGCAGCATCACGCCCGACATGGACGAGTTCCTGACCAGCCAGGGCTACGACGATCTGCGCGGCACGGCCAAGCTCTATCAGCGCTACTACCCCAGCATCCTGCCCCGGGACTACAACGACACGTACTACCAGGTGAGAGCGGAGCGAGAGCTTAAGCCTTGAGGCATCTCCACAATAATCATTCCGACTTGCCCTGCAGTTCCGCCACACGGACACACAGCGGACCACGGAGAGCTTCAAGGCCTTCGCCGAGGGTCTCTTTGGCACGGGGAACGCCGCCCATCCCGTGGACATACCCAAGGAAGATCTCCTGCTGCGCCCCTACGACTACTGCCAGTCCTACAAGGAGCTCAACTACAAGGGCGCGGGCTCCGAGCACCAGAAGTACACGCAGTCCGCCCTGTGGAACAGCACCCTGGCGGACATCTCCACGCGATTGGGGTGAGACTTTCACGCTCTCTAGCCCATGGCAGGCAGTAACGAATTCTCTTTGGATCCTGCAGCTTCCTGTACACCCTCGACCAGGCGGACATCCTGCTGATGTACGACACGTGCCGCTACGAGCAGGCGTGGCAGGTGGACCGCACGAGTGTCTGGTGCGGCGCCTTCCTGCCCGAGCAGGTGACCGTCTTCGAGTACGCGGAGGACCTCAAGTACTACTACGGCTCGGGCTACGGCTTCGAGGAGGACACGGCGCGGCTCAACTGCCGCCTCGTGCAGGACATGCTCACGCACCTGAGCAACCCCGTGTCGCCGCACGTCATCGCCCACTTCGGGCACACCACCGGACTGCAGACGCTGATCACGGCGCTGGGCGTGCGCAAGGACGACATCAAGCTGCGGGCCGACAACTACAACAGCCTCACGAACCGCCGCTGGAAGACGAGCATCCTGGGCCCCTTTGCGGCCAACTTTGTGGCCGTGAAGTACGACTGCCCCGCGGCCCTGGACAAGGAGAAGGCCGTCTTCTTCCTCAACCAGGACGCCGTGCAGCTGGACTGGTGCAGCGTCGGCCTGTGCAACTGGTCGGAGGTGCTGCATCGCTACAAGACCCTCGCCGATGCCGACTGTGATGAGTACTACTGCCGCTCCGGTGCCGCCTCACTGGCTGCTACTACCACACTCCTGGCCTCGACCCTCCTCGCTGCCTTAGTCTACTTAATGCATTGAATCTGAGCCGGATTTGTGTTAGTTTTTAATGTTTGTCAAATGTACAAAGTTCGTACCAAATGAGGAGGATGGCAGCATCATCGAGGGATGTCTTTCAAGTATTTTTCGATTTACATTTTTCTACTTTTAATCCAACCTCAGCAGCAGCACCTCTCCACACACACACACACACACAATTTGTAACTCTTACGATTGTTTTTCTAAATGCTTAACGTACCGTTGCAAGTGCTACAGTCAACCAAATAGCTTTATATTAATTAAATAAAATGATTAATTATTAAATTCGTTTGAAATTGAAAACATTTAGCGCCAAAGTGCAAGCAGCGCGAAACTGCTTGCATGTGCTGTTAAGCGCTAAAGCAGTGTTTACTTAACAGTGCCATAACATAGTTCAGTTCCACAAAGAGAATGAACTAGTTTTTGTCGCTTCACAACACTGCTCGTTTGCTCGCCTTTTGCGGCAAATTCAAAAACAATTTCGCCAAAAACCAGTCTCAGCTTAGACAGGTGGAATAATTCGAAATTAATTACATTTCCGGCAGAAGTGCAGAAGCATAATCAGTGAGGTGAACCACTGTATCTGGGGGTCCACGCCCTGCCACTGCCACTTCGTGACAGGCCCCTTTAAAAGCCGAAAAAGCTTTGCCAAATCCTTTGGGGTGTGAAAATGGGCAATTTTTAAAGTCTTCTTTCCTGCCGTATCTGCTGTGGGGGGAGGGGGGGTGTCCTCTGGCTGTAGCTGTAGTTGTAGCTGCCTGCCGTGCAGTGTCACGTGTTTCCTGTTAAATGCTCTAATGATGGGTATTAGGCCAGACTAAGTGCCACTCATAAGTGCCGCACACGCACCTGACACAAGACACAAGACACAAGACGCTGTGGCTGCTGGCCCTCTGCCTTGTGCCTTGTGCCTTCTGCCTCTGTGTGGATGGATCCCTGCTCCAAATGCGAATCCTGCGCGCCCCACCTTTGACTTTCACATCGAAATGTACGCAAAATGCGTTTTTTATTTCACTGTGGACTGGCCATCCCCCGCTTCTGGGGTGGAAATAGTCCTGCGGCTGGCTCTCCACTCACGCTAGTTGCGCCAGCAGCGTACGTGTGCCACACATATGCCACCCCTCCAGCCTCTGATATCTCTGATTCAAGGACACGCGCAGGACACGGTGCTCCCCCGAGTTGATGCTTTTCCTCTAGTTTTCATTAGTTTAAGCGACTTCCACGACTGCTGGAAACATTTTCCATCCATAATCCATGTGAGCTTTCAACCTAGAGCCGTAATAATCTTTGCCGTCTACAACTAGATAGAAAATGAATCCAAGTTCAACTCATCCTCATCCTCATCCTCCATTTGCTCATTTGTATTTTTCACTCGATTTTAAGGCACAAAACACACACTTGATCCGGGTCCATCTCTGCTGTCTGCTGTCTGCTGCAGAGAATCAAGGAGCAGCTCGTTAATGGCCGCTCATTTGGGTGTCAGTGAGCTATGAATAAGCAACGAATACCCAACCCCATGCCAGATGAGAGTTTTGTGGCCTCTGGTCAAAGCAGCACCAGGCAGCGGGGCAAAGTCTGGCAGCTGGAAGACCCAGCTCTCTGGGTGGTCCGGGGTAGCTGGCGCTTTGAAGTGCGGCCAGGTAATTGGTTAATTATTAGGCCATGCTTGCTAGACGGCATACAGTAGCAGCAGCAGCAGCAGCAATCTCGGATTACCGCTCCCTGCGACCAGCAGCCCAGCCGTTATGGACACAACATTTTCGCATCACTAATTAGAGAGTTAAAACCTAGCAGCAGCAGCAGCAGGATGGGCATCAGGCATCGTCAGGCTTGTGTAACATGATTCTGTGTTGCGTATACGCAACGGGGCACAAAACAGAGAGACGCACAGCCAGAAAGCCAAACTGCTCTCTGTTCGGGCCATGCCTTGCCCCATGTTCTCGATTTCAATATCAAAGCCAAAACAATTTCTAGGCCAGAATTGTAGTTCACTTTTCCCACTGATGCTTTTTGGCATTGCAAAACTCTCTTGGTGCCAGGAGAGACCTACCTTCAGGGCTATAATTTCCTGCTCCTGCTGCACATTTTCTATTCCTGTTCCCATTCATATCTCTCGCTTGTGCGTTGCTCAAAATGAATAGCTTGGCCACAGAAATTTGTGTAGTTTCAGCTGGGGCCGAGTTTTTGGCCAGTGGAAAAGGCAATTTCGTGTGCGAGTTATCAAAACAATCAAAAACTCTCTGCATTGTTTGGCTTGAGCCTCTCCCCACTGCAGCAGAATCCCTTTGTTTGCCTTTGCCATTTTAATTAAGTCAAAGTGTTTGCATTACGCAAAACCCCATGGCCTGCTGGGGGACTGCTGCTTGGGTGGCAAAAAGAACTGCCAAGTAGCTGCCGAGTAGTAAATGTTTTTGTTTGTTCATTCAATAATTCAATAAGCGAGTGAGTGAGGGTTTAGCTGCCTGAAAGGTGTTTCCAATCCGCCAATCTGCCACTTTGCATCTTTATTTCCGGCACTCAATTAGACCAGCGCCAAGTGTGATCCTGTCTCCTGTCTGCCATCTCTGCCCTTTGTGTTTATGGCCGCCGCTTAAGAGACAAAGCGTGTATGAAATGCCCGCGGGGGAGTTGTTAAAGAACCATAAGAATATTGAGAGCAAATGGCATGGAGTTCCCGCCATTTACGATGCTCATTCCACTGCCGCTCCTCCTGCTGCTGCTGCTCGTAAATGTCCTGCAGTGATTTCGGTTCTGCTCTCTGTGAAATTTAATTCATAAATATGCACAGTAATTCTTAATAGCACTCCGACACTGCGAGAGACTGTCTGTCACTGGCAGCGAGGACATGGATATGGCCACATCCTTTCACGCACTCCCTGCCCCTGCCACAAGTGAAATCGATTACCTGGGGGCGAGCCTTTCAGTCAGTCTCCTTTGTGCCGGCTGAAGCTGCCTGGACCCTCACGAAGACGACTGTTGGCCGCTTGTTGCTTTTGATTTGTGATATTTCTCTCTGTATCTCTGTGTGCCTCGACTGGAAGACAGTTTTGTGACAATTCGCAATAAGCGGGCTGTCACAGCCAGAGCCAGAGCCAGAGCCAGAGCCAGAGCCCTCCCCCTACTTTGGGGAGTTTGGATACCAAAAAGTAAACAAGCAACAAGCCCTGATGCTGCGCCAAAGTTGTTCATATTTGCACAGATGCTGGAACGTAATTGAGAATGCTCCAAGCACCATCCTCCTGCTGGGCTGCTGCTGCAAAGATTTTTAATTGAATTTCTCACAATTGATTTCATAATCAAAAGGAAACCAAAAGGAGCGTGAATGATGGAGCAGGATTGATGCTTATTCAAGCGGAAATCGTTGCACGCAGTGCAAAAGTGTCGAGCTGCTCATTATCTGCCTCTCGCTTCCTGCATGCCAGTGTCCTGCAAGTCCTGCCGCTCCTTCGTCCTCCATCAGTCAAAGTCATTTAACTTGAGTGAGCACTTAATGCTGTTCAGGCCATGGCAACGCAAGAGCAGCAGCAGCAGCAGCGGAAGTTGCCATAAAAAAAGGCTTAAGGGGAACTCTCTCTGTGTGGCTGAGGCTGTGGATTGCCACACACAAATCCTGCTAATTTGCGAGGGACATGCACTCATACGAGGAACCAGGATGAGCTGACAGCAGCTCCAGGCTCACTGATGAGGCAGCCAGCCAGACAGGCGCAGTCCCTGCTGCTGCCGCCTCCCCAAATAAGACTTTCCTCGTTTTAGCATGCAAAAAACTTTCAAAACTTTACTGAAAAAACAAAAACAAACAAGAGGAGCGACAAAGTGAAGGCAGCTAGAATCTGTAGCGCCTCACGGCGCGATACTGATAGCCATCGTTGGCGAGGACAGCGCTCTGGCCATCGGCAGGACCCTCCAGGACGACGACGGCCTCGTCCTGCACGGGAGGCAGGTACTCGCGCAGCTCTGCGGGCATCTCCGCTGGCTGCTGGTAGTGGTAGCCATCCTGGAGCAGCTGCCCTGCGCCGCCCTCTGTGGGCACATCCACCACACGGACATCGGCCTCGGGCTGCTCCTGCTCCGGCTCCTCCGGCAGCGGTGTGGTCTCCTCCTGCAGCTCCGCGGGCGGCAGATACTCCCGGGCGAGCTTTGGCTCAACGGCGGAGACCACCTCCTCGGTGTCATCGATGGGTGCAGCGGGAGGATCTGCTGGCGGCAGATAGGCCTGACTGGGCGGCAGATACAAGTGCGAGACATCGCGACGATTGCGATGGCGCAGCTTCAGGCGGCGCACAGTGCGATATTCGTAGCCCTCGGGCTCAGCTTGGGCTTCGGCTTCAAGCTCCACTGGCAGTGGCTGCTGCTCGAGCAGAGCGGCTTCGGTGATGCCTGGCGGCAGATACTCCAAGGGTGCGGCTGCTGCTGCTGCTGGAGCCACCAGCTCGGAGACATCACGGCGCAGACGAGACTCCAGTTGGGGGGCAGCCAGAGCGGCGCTGGCCACAGCCGAGAGCGCGAGGACACTGCCGAGCGAGAAGAATTTCTGCAGAGAGAGAGAGCGTAGATTTAGTCACAGGATGTGCAGCAGATAGATCCCCAGTCCTCCAGCCTTTGCTCACCATTTTGTAGCTTTAGTTTTGATGGGGAATTTCGAGCTGATTGCTGCTGCTGCTGCCTGAGCGTTGCTTGATGCCTGTCTGCCGGCCAGTCGCTCAATTTATAGCCAGAAAAAGAGTCTCGTAGTTAGGAGAAGAAACAAACAGACGAAGCAGCAGAGACAAGCGAAGACACTTCTGTCGAGTGGCGGCCACTCGAGGCAGGCAGAGCTCTGCTCTCCGGGGTCTTTGCTTCAGTTTCACTTCAGTTTTTGGACAATGTCAAGTGGCTCTCGGATCTTGGATCTGCTTGACCTTTCCCCTTCCTTTGCCGTCTGTTACTTTTCCGCTTCTTTTTCCATTCAATTTTTATTCGATTTGCATTCGAGGTGTTACTTGGCGGAAGAGTTTCGCTCAGGCCTCTGCTGGAGTGGCTCTGGCTCGTTGCCTTTGAGGCTTCTACAGACATGAATATGAATACAAAAAAGCTAATTCAACACAGCAGCCTCATCGCATATTTATGAACAATCACAAATGAAAAGCCAATGAAAATGTCACCAGAATGTGCGCAAATAACTTATTGATTGTGTTTGGGTTTTGTGTTTTTTGCTGCTCAAACACTCAGTTTGCAGCCCTAAATGGTCAAAATTATAATTGTGCATTTCTCATTTGATGTGCAGCACAAGAACTTGGCCTCAGTTTTGGGAATACATTTCCGCGATTAGTTGGAGCTTCATTTCTGACCAGCTTCCAGCTTTGAGCCAGCTCTGAGTCCTGCCCCAAAAGCTTGCCAACCCGCCGCAATATTTCTCTTTCTTGTGGCGCTCCCCGACTTGTTGCCGCTCAGCCTTTCGGCCTAAAAGCCACTCATGTATAATATTTGATGCTCCTGTGTGCTGAGCATAATTTATGGCCAAAAGTACAGCCGCCATATGCCACATCGAAGGATATGCTGAGCCATCAATTCGGGCAGCCACTCTTGACTCTTGATTTCCTGCCACTTTCTTATGCGAATGTAAAAGTTTTCCATGTCTATTTTTGGCTGGTGTCTCTGCGTCTGTCCCTGGCATAGATAATCCCACAAAAGCAGAGCGGAGCATTGGGCCAATGAAACGAGAGCCGCGAAAGGGAAGGAGCAGCAGCTTAAAGCCCGCTCAGTCGCAGCTCAGCGGCCATTAGCCGCTAAAGCTGCTGTGAAAAAGCACACGAGCAGGAAAAACTCTTTCCTGTCGAGCACAGCAAAGGTGGAAAGCGGCAGGCGACAGCCAACTTGAGTTGAGAATGTTTGCCAAGGCTCACAAAAAGGACACAGCCCGAGCCCAGCCCAGCCCGAGCCAAAACAGAGCCAAACTCTGGTGGCAGTTTCTCCCTTTTAGTTTATGCAAATTTTGCAGCGCAGACAGCCGCTGGCGTCGCATTTATTAACTTGAAATATTTATAAATTGCCAAATGGGTGGCAGCAAAAGAAGGAAATGGCACGGGACAGGAATGAAAGGGTTTCGAGTTTACACTTCGATTTACAACTTTAAATTAGTTTCTTTTCTGCTGCTGCCACTCATTCGGGCATTTAATTCTGTATTTGCGGTGACGTGGCTCCAATTGATTGGACTATAAATTGCAGTCAGTCGGTGGGTTTGGTCGTTCGGTTGCGGCTTTTGACAACATAATTGAAACGACTTCCACTTCCACTTTCCCGCCTGCTGCGACACGGTTTAGGCCTCATCCCCAGCTGAGTCCCCAAAAGTTGTTGTTGATGGCAACAGCTTGCGGCTGGTAATTAAGTCACCGCTAGATGTGTCTTGTTTCTGCTGCTGCGCTGCCAACAAGATGCCGACAGTGGGATGGATGATGTGAGCAAAAGTCGCCTTGGGCTGTCGCGCGTTCCTGAAAAATTGATGAGCTGCCGCTGGTAATTGGGCGTGGGGTGGAGTAGAGTCCCAGCTACTCAAGGAGCCGATTGATTGATTTCAAATTCGAATTTTCGATCAGCTGGTTCGATATAATGAACCACTTGTGCGCCAGTGTTCAGTGAACCACTTGAAGCAGTTCGCTCTAATGAGCCAGTGATCGGTAACGGGAGCGACAGAGACAGCAACAACAACAAAGAGTCGCAAAAAATGCAGCAGCTAAAATTTGCTCCAAAATTGTGTTAAATGCGAGTAAATGTGCTGCATAATACGGTGAAATGTGAAACAATTATGTGTTAGTGTTTGGTGTTATATTATTTTACATTTATTTGTGGAGAAAGCAATAAATACATTTTTCAATGTGCTGTGCAGCCGCGGCAGAGAGAGCCACAACAACAAAGTGCCGCAGTTGAAAGTTGCTCTAAAATGATGTAAATTGAATGCAAAATACGGTAAAATGTGAAACAATTATGTGTTAGTGTTTGGTGTTATATTATATCACTTTTAAATGTGGATAAATAGTGATTTTCTTTATGTGCTGTGTAGCCGCGCCAGAGAGAGAGAGATAGAGCAATCTCGGCAGAGCGAGAGAGAGCAGCAGCTGCGGCTTACGTCTTCTGTGACGTCACAAGTGGGAAACGGCTTCTGCGATGATAATAAGAATAAAGATGTCACATGTGGCCCTTTGGTCGAAGCATCAGGTGAGTGCCTGCTTCCATAAATTGATATTTGTTCATTGCTCTGTCAACATTGTCACAGCTGCCAAACATAAATTGTTCATTGATATGATGGCTTGACCCTCGTATCCCATCCCGCTGCTCATCCATCATTCATCCTGCATCCATTATGCATTTTCTCTCGCATTAACTTTTAGTTTTCCCCACCAAACGAAAGGGCCTTCCATTCGTCCATCCAGACCGAAATCATGAGTAAAGCAAGCCCCCGACAATGTTGCGCATAAATATTTATAAGCCCCAGACGAAAATGTATGGCAGACGAGCCGAAAATCGATGGCACAGCAAACGTATTTATTAGGCTGGGACAGACACAGACGGAGGCGGTCCTTGCCGTACCCTTGGCATATGGAAATGATTGGGGTATGATTGTTTTCTTGGGGTTCTTGTAACTTCCGACCCGTGAGAGTATCTGTAGCTTCGGCACACGCCACCCAGCGGGTTTCGTTCTTGCTCGTTTAAGGTGTTCTTTGGCGCCGCTTGTTAATATTTAAAATTCAATTTAAATTTATGTAGCCAGCGCAATGGCGTGTTGGGAAAAATCCAGACACGAACCGAACAGACGACACTGAAGGGCCGTGAAACGTTGACAAAATCCAAATCGATGTTTTAGCAATTATAAAGCAACGCAGCGAGGATAAGTGCTGCCGACACTAAAGGCAGAGAGTATTTATGTGTATCCCCTCTGGGGGCTTAACTAAATGTAAATAAAAATGCCAAAAATAAAACAGCCACGCCCCGTGGCTCGTGGATACCGTTCCTGGAAGGTTAAACTCAAATTAGCGGTGCAGTGGCTCGCGACAATTAACTGAGAGCGGGCAGCAAAGAGAGAGCTCACCGTTGCGTGCGCTTGATGAGTAGAATCTCGACGTTTATGCTGACATTTGATGTTTAATGTTGCTGCTCACACACACACACACACCCATTCATATTTTATTAAAAACGCAAAGGGTGGGGAGGGGAGGGGAGCTGGAGCAGAAGCAATGCCACTGCACCTATACACCTGCGGCTTTGTTAATTTCCCCAGACACCTGGGCGACCGAAAGCAGCGTTTCTTCGCTCTTCGCTCTTCGCTTTCGCTGCCAAGAAAAATGAAAATGAAAATGAAAACAAATAAGAATAAAGTAGAAACGAACGGTGGAACGGTGGGACTGGGAGTGGGAGTGTTGCTGCTCGTAGGTCAACAAACAGTTACAATTTGATTCTGTTTGCATTGCCCTCCCGCAGGTCTGTTTGTCGATCTGTTTGTTTGCCCCAATCCGAATCCCCACGAAAAACTCTGCCAGGGGATGCCAGCGTGACACGCCGAAGCGAGAGAGAGAGAGAGATTTGCACCTGAAACATCGACTAATCTGTTCGCATTTACGCACTGAAAATTGACAAATTGAGCCTGAAAATGCAACTGCGCAATGTTCACCACAGACACATAATGATTTCGGTTTCAATTAGACATCGGACAAAGGTCAACATCCCAACGGATGGGGTCGAGTCCCAGAGGAGCCATAAGCTGTCTGGATTTATATATTTTTAATTTGGTTCTCACCCGACTCGGGGGTCGGGCTGTAGTGCCGTGTCAGTGTCCCTTCTTCGACGCATTTCAATTTCAATTTACTTTTAATTATTCGCCCATTTGTTTTGCTTTTCATTTTGCAGCGTTACTTTTTCTGTTACTTTTAATATGAAATAATTGCTGGATGAAGGGTGGGAGGGACGGGAGAGACAGAGAGAGAGACAGAGAGCAACGCAACAATTGGCGTGTCGCTTAAATGACTTTTATACGGCAGCAGTGTGTCGGTGTGTCGGTGTGTCTGTGTGTGTGATGGCAAACAGAAATGAACACTGAAACGGCATGGCATGGAACAACACCCCCGCTGCTCCCGCTCTTTTGTTTGTTGAAATTGTTAAGCGGCAGATTCCTTTCAATTAAACTTGTAGCCATCAGGTTGTCGATTTAATTAGTTGTCGGCATGGCCCCCGATGTATCCTGTGTGTGGCAACAGCTTATGGAAAATGTTACCTGCTGGACACTGGCTGCTATTCGCATTCAAAGCGAAAGTTTTGCTTTGATTTCGTTCCCTGCTTTCATTCGTTTCGTGATATTTTTCCATAATTCTATTCGAGTGTTTCAGTCAGTTTCCAATTACTTTGCTTCCGAATTTCTCTTCATGCGAGTCTCCTCCCACTTGCAGTCTCCCAAGAGTCGCTCCATTTATCCATCTACTTTGCTCTTCTATTATTATCGCACTCTGAAAATCTCTTTAAAAAGTACAATTTGCTGTGTTTGCTGTGTCCTCTTTGGCTATATTTTGAAGCATCTGTGAGCTGTGTGTCGAGACTGGCAGAGGGGAAGGTGAAGAATGTTGCTTTGATTAACTTGTAGCCAGCAATTTGGCGAATTTGGCCAAGAGCAGCGCGCTGTAAATTGAGCCTAATTGGAAATTACACACCAG